GTTATGGGGGGGACAAAGCAAGGAAGGTGTGGATGGTCCTCAGGGGTCACCCCGTGCAGCAGGGAAGCAGAGCCCCAAGACCCAAAAGAAAGTGTCTGCTGGGAGGCCCAGGAAGCCTTTGCCAGAAGGTGGCCTTCACACTGAGGAGTCTGCAGGCAGAGTTCTGCAGACAGCCGCTTGTGGTCTTTCTCTGCCATATCATCCCCACAACCTGGCTTGTTTTGCTGTGTACACATTCACCACAGTACTGCATGCTTTGTATATTTTGGGGCGGGGTGGGGTACCGGGGACGGAACTCGGGTCCTTGCACTTGCGCGGCAGGCGGCGAAACCACTGAGCTAAATCCCCGGCCCTGCTTTGTGTATTTTATAATCATGTGAAAGCCATTGAGGGCTACCAGACATAATTGTTCGACCCTATTTTAATTTACTTGCTAAAACTGAGAATAATAATTAAGCTTTGTAACTAAGGAAAATATTGTATGCAAAATTAATAGTTATGACTCAGCCCTGAATATCTAGCTAGAAAGCATTCCCAGGTAGCCGTGCGGAACCACTTCCCTGGTCTACACTTCAGACGCACGGCAAGCAGTCACCCCTCATCTCCTGCTGCAGTGGGGATACAAACGATTCCTGCCAGGAGCATATGCAGTATGATCAAAATCACAGTGAATGTTTAAACTTAAAATTTTTTATTACAATAAAAGACATATTGCTATTAATCCCCTTCAAAATACTGCCTCCTTGCTTCAAGCACACTTATCCCATTGTTCTTGACAGTGTGTCTTTCATTGCAACTTTTTTTTAAATGTAGCAATCACTGTATTTTTCAATCGCTCAAGACTCACGCTCATCACAGTGCTCACAACGTAAGTGTTCAAGCTTGGGATCGGAGCCCATGCGCTCAGAACAGGACATGCCCTGCTGCTGACTGTGTTCGAAAATGAAATACTGCAGTCAGCCCTCTGTCTCCTTGGGCTTTGCTTCTTCAAATTCAACCAACTACAAATTGAAAATATTTGGGAAAAATTGCCCCGACCTGAACATGCAAAGCTTTTATTTGTGATCCCCTAAACAATACAGTGTAACAATGACTTATACAGCCTTCACATCGCATTAGACAGTGTAAGTAATCTACAGATGATTTAAAATCCACAAGAGTATGTACATGTGTTATCTGCAGCTCTTATGCCTTCTTCTATGAGATTTGAGCATCCGCAGATTGTGGTCAATGTGGACGGGTCCTGGGCTTGGTTGATAATACTGAGGGACGAATATATTGATTTCCAGGACATGCTTAAGGCTAAAATAAAAGCACCAGTAGTGATCTGACCTGATAACAAGCAAGTTCCTAATGTATAATTTAAAAGAAAAGGAAGAAAGATCATCATTTCTTTTTCTTAGTGAATCCAGAAATCCTTCTTCTAAAAAACAGTGCTCTATTATTCAAGTACTAATTATGGAGGATATTTCTGGTGGTCACTTCCAGATACGGAATTGTGATTTGATTTTGTTTAGTGGTTACAGAGAATAAATATATACTCAAATGCTAAATATAAGGCTGCCTTTGAATTTAAGATTCAAAAGTCGTATTTTATTTTAGGTTTCCAAACTGTAGCTATAAAACTAAGTATTGTTTGTCTTGGCATAATGAAAGGCAATGATCTTAGCTTGGGGAATGATGAACAAAATGCAAGCGAATAAATGTGTAATGCTTTCTGCAGGAGAGCAGGGAGCTGTGAAGGTTAACCTGAGACCTCCCCACCCTGAGAATTCAGGTCCTCGTTACAAATCAGTCTCCTAAAGCTGGCACCGAAGTGAAGGGAATTTAAAGGCTCTGGAAAACCTCCAAAATTCCACAGACAGCATGGGATAGGGAAAAGCTACTAGAAACCCACACGAACTCTAAGCCTTCCCCTGCGGGTTTTACTGGGGAAATAAGAATTTTCTTTATACAAATAAGGCTGGAATTGTAACATAAATACAAGGAGTTCTCAATTGTACAGACGCCCAGCAAAGCATGCAGAGAGGCCACACAAGCCAGAGTGGCCCGCAGCGCATGCTTCTCAGCTTGAGCAGAGATGTTCGCAGTAGGCGCCCTGAAACTGGAAAAGAGGAAAACGGTGACCCCAACACTGGAGAGCAAACGGGAAGGCGGGACTTAGCCTTCCTGCGATTAAACCGGAGCTCTGTGCTCACGTTTCCGCACCTGCAAACCCTTCACAAAGTGAAGCAGGTGCTTCTTGGATTTTTTTGCCTCCATAATTAGGGTCCCTGAAGACTCAGCATATTTGCCTTCTTTCTATGCGTGCTCATCTTTCATTAAAATTATGTGCAAAACCACGTCTTTGAAAGCTCTGTCAAAGCACACTATCAGAAAATCCCCTACAAAAAAAACAGTTGTTACTTTTTGTAGAGTATAATTGCTTTGCAGGAGGAGCCAGGCCACGAAGACCTCCCATGGTGGCCCTGAGCTCTGTGGCCAGCCAGGTCATGGGACGCAGTGGGGACAGAAGTACAGTTTGCAACCCAGTGTGGAATACGTGGGCCCCCAAACTGCTGCTCACTGAAGCCCGTGCACAGCCTGCGGTGTAGACACCGGCTGCTGCCTCCACTCGGGAGAGCACAGGTTCTTAGGACCCAGGAAAGAAATGACCACCCTGGGTTGCGTCTTTGTTTTGTTCGGCTTGGCTGAGGAGCTGCTGTGGACTCTGCAGCAAGCACCGTGGTGCCCTTGGGCGGCTGAGAGCCTGCATCCTGACCTGTCCCTTGAGCCAGCTCCCGGCTCCCTCAGGGACGCTCGCTGCACCACGGAGTTCCTCCTGTCTGCCGCCTTCATTCTCCTGAAGCTGCTCTTAACAAAATCAGCAACAAATCCTCCTTGTTGCTGAAGCCAGGATTTCACCCAGGAAGCCCAATAAAAGTAGCAGCTCCTGTGTGTGCCAGCCACGGCGCTAGGCACGGATTTTGGACTTGTTTCTGTCCTCAGGCGTCACACTTTGCTCTCCCTTCTCAGCGATCTCCTCCTTGGCTTCCAGGGTGCTGAACCAATCTCCCAGCGCCAATCTGGGGCCTTTCCCAGCCCAGGTCCCACCCAACGCCTGGCTCTTCAGCACTGACCGGCCCTGGGGTTTGGTCACTGGCCCGGTTCTTGCTCCTCCTTGAAGCACCTGGCTGCTCCCATCTCCTCAGCTGCCCCTCTCCGGGTTTCCAGGTCTGACTCGCTGTAGCCCAGGGCAGGCGTCTCCACTGTGTCTGGGCCAAAGCGTGTTCAGTCCCCCGCCTCAGTGGCCGCTTCGTCGAAGCCCCTTCCCTGCCCTCTGCTGCCCTGCCGCGGCTCTGCTTAGGGGCTGTCCTTTGGATTTCCACACTTCCTGCCCCCATCCTCCGGCTGTTGCCATCCATCCTCCTTGCAACTCCAGACCCTCTTTGTGCAACGGGGTTGTTGGTGCATTCACCAGCATTCCACGAAGTCACCCTTTATACACCAGCAGGCCAGGCACTGCCTGGCGGGGCTTCTGTGCTGCCTCCCAGTCCGCAGGGCATCAGGCCCCGGGCTCTTCCCACCTGCCCAGCTAGGGGCAGGCTGGGACCCCTTCTCTGCGCCCACCTCTGCGCGTCCCCTGACACTGTCGCTGAGCTTTTCCTTTGATGGGCACAGAGGGCTGCCCAAAATCAACACTCAGTGGCTGAACAGATAATAAATTGGTTTTCCTTAAGAATAACACCTTGATAATTTAATCTTAATGTTAGCTACGTACGGTTTCGTGTTCCAGATCTGTTCATGGCAAGAGATCAATGAGGCAGTTTGCTGAAATCTGTTGTTTTGTAAAGAGTTCTTTGCATATAGTTAACCAGACAATTGCCCATGCTACCCAGAATTTACAGAATTCAGCCTCTGCTTTGCCTTAAAACTAGCATACTATGGGGCATCTTGCATAAACCTGTAAACCCAGCACTTGGGAAGCTGAGGCAGGGAGATCACCACAAGTTTGAACCCAGCCTGAGCTACTTAGCAAGAACTTGTCTCAAAAATCCAAACACACACACACACGCACAGACGCACACAGACACATGCACACACACACACACACCCCTAGCCTTGCAGGTGGTTTTTCTTGCACATTTTCAAGAAGTGGTTGGGGAAAGCAATGAAAAGATGAAAGTTTGTAACCTTATATTCATAATTTTCATAATATCTCCTTGGCAACTGCAAAAGAAAATTGGCAATTCCAGGTAATTTTAAAAGTAGTAAAAAAAAAAAAAAAGCATATCAACTGAGCTTTTTCCCATACTGAGTGAAACATTATCAAATAATACTCTTTGTAAATGTCTTTGTATTTGAAGCAGGCATTGGTGGCTCTCGGAAAGAGGTGTCAGAACCATCAGGACGGTGTGAAACACCCTTTCCAGAGTTGGAAAAGCTGCCAAATGCTTTCCATTACTGAGCTGATCAGGTTCCACTCACCACCCCATTAAAACCCTTCTTTAGGACCGGGGATTTAGCTCAGTGGTTTCGCCCCCTCCTGTGCAGGTGCAAAGACCTGAGTTTGATCCCCGGTACCAAAAAAAGGAAAACCCTTCTTTTATTCTGATCACATTTTGGAATTTAAAAACAGAACATTGGGTAATACCAATGAAGAAATCAAGAAAGTTCATATTTCATTCCTGGTTCCTTTAATATACATAAGACACCTGGTTGCCGAAAGCTCAAAGCAGAAAGTACCTGAGTGTCAGACCCGAGGCTGTGCAGTGCAGTAAACAGAATGATGAGAACACCAAAGAAAACAGAGACAGCCTGTGAAAGCCCGCAGCATCCGCTGAAAGAACAGTCTGTCCACGGCTGCATGCATCTGTAGCATCTGCCCTGTAGCAGCATCCTTTACTTTTTAATGAATTTATGCTGTTGGTGAAGTATTAGAATGGTTTTCTCCCTCTCACCTTCTCATGTGTTTTCTCTCCTGTTACGTCGCCACCTGTCCTCCCTGGAAAATCCATCAGGCTAACTGTCAGGTAGGTTCTCTCTGATGTCTCCTGTGATTATTAAGGGAACCCATGGAGGAGAACGGAGTAACAGGGCATGGGGGCCTGGTGATGAGTGACAGAACAGAAAAGGCACACCCTAGATTACGGAGAAACTGTTTGCAGATGCACAAAACTGGAGAAGCTGCACTTAAGCCAGGGTGAGCATCTATCTGGAGAACCTAGCCTCGCGGCAGACAGCGCTCCAGTGATAAAGTAGGTTACCTGGACTGCCCAGCATTTGCGGTAGCTTAAAATACAGACTGCTCCTGCCAGCCTTTCTGTGATAGAGCAGTATTATATCCTGTGTGGTCACATGTGAGCCTGCTGTAAATACATCAGCTTCTATGAGTTTGGCCAGGTTCAAGAAAATTCACAGTGATGTACTTTAAATCTCTCTTCTAGCTGAGCTTGGTGGAGCATGCCTGTACTCTCAGTTCTCGGAGGCTGAGTCAGGAGGATCACCACAAGTTCAAGACTAGCCTGGGCTACGTAGTGAGAGCCGGTCTCAAAAAAATGAAAAACAAAAAACTTTAAATTAAAAAATCATTGTTTTAGGTACATATCCAAACATTCTCTGTGTCTTGAAGAATAAAGGTGACTTGGAAAAAAGGGAAGTAGTGGTCGTATACAATTTTTTAATGCTGAATGCACCCCTGGAGTTGTCCAAGGCAGGGAAGGCACCTCATGCCCTCAGCGGTAGTGCCTATGGGGGGTCCACAGGAAGCTGCAGGGCAAACACTTCTCAGACCCTCGTGCGCAAGACACTTTACAAGCCCGAGAGAAGAGAGACAAGCGTTGAAGTCAGAATGTGTTTGGGGTGTGTTTGTGTATGTGTATGTGTGTTGTGTTTAACTTGAGCTCATTTTTATCTTTCAAGAGGAAAAGTATGTTTCACTTGCCATGCAACATACCCTGCTCTAACCGCTTTCTTATTTTAATTTCAGAAGTCTACAGAGCAAATGAAGAAGGTCCCTACTATTATTCTTTCCGTCTCATATAAAGGAGTCAAATTTATTGATGCAACAAATAAGGTAGGCACAGCACCACTCTTTGTTTTAAACACCAGGTGCTGTCCCGAGTGTGTGATCTAAAATCCCAACATTTCAAATTGACATTTGAATCACTCTGTACCCTCCACCTTCATGCTTGGTGCCCAGAACTGTGAACGTGCACACACACATGCACACACTCACCTGTACACGCCCACGCAGAGAAAGGCGAGTTTATTGGGAGTCTGGATCTGAGATGGCTTCTCTCGTAGACTGTGGCCGCTTACCTGACAAATTCCTTTGAATCTAGAGAACAGTGAAAGAGGGGGAAAAACTAGTTGCAGAAAAACAAAAAGACAACGATGTTGTCATTTCCCCGTGAGGGGAAATGTTACCAGAGAAAGAGCTGCAACAGCCCTTCCATTTCTCTGGAGATATATGTGTCCTTTCCTTCATACACGTAATAAATGCCTGACACCAGAAACACCCTCTGACTTTTTATATGCTGTTAACTGCGTTTCATTCCCAGCTACTGAGATGGAAGAGAGTTTCAGCTGCTCATTTTCTTGAGAAACACGATCAGAAAAGAAGCTCGGGCCAAGCTGTCTTTGTACTTAGAGAGGGCACAGTTTGCAGCTCTGCGGCCAAGTGTTGGCTTCTGGGTTGCATTTTACCTGAAAAGTGTCCCAGAGGTTCTTTTTCTGGGCATAGACCACAGATTCCCATTGCTGAACTAGAAAGAAGAGAAATGAGGTGCTCACCGTGGTGAATGGTGACTGCCTGGACAGACCCACTCTGTTTTAAAGAAAAGGATGTAAAGTCATCAAGCAAGTGAACGTCAGCAATGGGAACTCAGGCCCAAAGCAGCTGGATTTAGATATCAGGGGAAAGTGCCATGGGCATTGAATCTCTCTGGTGTCTGTCATGAACCTGAGGGTCTGCATCAAACAATTAGAAGCTTTTCTGATTGGTTTTCTGTAGATTGTTGCTTCAGCAGTCAGTTAAGCCCGAGCTCCCCAAATCTACTTCAAAAGGCAACCTTCCAGTTCTAGAAAAAAATCCTGAAACCCAGGCAGATGAAACTCATGATGAAGGAGCGTCCTCATGCAGGCTGAAGACAGCCAAAGCATCTTTAGAGCAAAATGCCTTGTGTGGAATGATGTCATACTGCTGACAGATTACAATGGCAGAGGCTCAAATCAGAACAATCCCAATTGATTTGTTGTTTTTTTCCCATGGAGACATTTTCAGTTCCTGGTACATAAAATTACCTTATCCTTAAATTATAGTCGGATGTTTAAAAAGTTCCACAACTCTTTGGAATGCTTCCTGAGTGTACCACTGCTATCTGCTATATCTAGATGTAAAAGAAGGCCTTAGCACTTGAATTTTTTTCCCCCTAACCTGGAGCAAATGCTTCTACACCATTTGCATTTGAAAAACTTGAAGAGCAATGGATTTTCAGTGGATGTATTTGGCCCTCAATTATCAACTTGGGTCCTGACAATTTCTAAACAAGGAATGAATGCTCTAGGAAATCCTGAGTCCTAAGGCTGTCATCCCGCTGCCTCTGTATTATGAGCATCCTCCTGACCAGCTCTCTACCATCAGAGCCAGGAGGGAGAGCCCTCCTGGCAGGTCCATCGCTGACACATTGAGGCATGTAGAAGTTGATGCTCCTGTACCTTGAGGAGACATTTCTGACTCAATCACCAGCAATTAGATGAGTTATCCATGGATCTCTGCTCACCAGTGACTACCTTTGGACGGATCAGCAGAGAAAGATATGCAAAAGATGATTTTGTGTAAATAAAGACACTAAATAAAGAAGGGAGAGTGCATCTTTCAGTTCCTTGCAGTGTGGTCCTCCAAATATTTTCAGAATCTATAGCAAAGGCAGAGTGCATTTGTGGGTGACAGGTCGAGCCAGCCTCTCTGTGACGCAGAGTAGCATGTGCCTGGCTTTTTCAGGAGTTTCAGGACCTTCTTTCCTTCATCTGCCTGTGTCTCTGATCTCCCCGAATGTGACCATCGGGAGAGAGACTGGGTGACTCAGGAAATGTCTAGTAGTTGCTATGTGGGATGTTGAAGCAGAGAGATTGTATGTAGAGGGGTAGAAGAAAGAAATAGTGGAAGCTGCCTGGGCAGGATTGGACTGTGGGAGGCTGGAAAACAGGGCCACCAGGCAAGGCTGACGGACTGGCTTCAGCAGGTGCACCTTCCAGCTGCGGCCCTGAGAGGGACAGTGTGCAGACACCTGGACCCCAGCAGTGCCCACTACACTGGCAGCTTTATGTGGCACTTTATCCTCCAGAAAAGGCCACAGGAGAAGAGCAGACTGATAGACTCCCAAGTCCTTGCACGGCTGTTGTCTTGGTGGGCCACTTTCACCGGAAGAGAAGGGTTTGTGAAATGCAAGCATATCTGGAGATCTCACCATAGTCGCTCTCCTAACCATGCATCCTCTTCCCCCTCCTCTACTAAGACAAAGGGGGCTGCGCAGTCCAAGGCAGACAGCTGAGGGTCTGAGGCCTCTGCCCCTCGGCTCGGTGTCTCCTTATAGCCACACAGCCTGTTGGTCACACAGAAAACGTGGGTGGCATTGCGACTCCCGAACCTGTTTCTTCTATTACTCCACAGCTACCTTCCACCAGTTAGTTTGAAGTACAGTGGATAATTAATTATGTGTTAATTACCCTTCCCTCCTGCTATCTATCCCCCATTAGGCTAGGTGAAAGATGAACCTGCCAGTGAAGCATTTCTTTCCCTTTTTTCTGATAAATAAATAGCTTTGGCTGAGTTCAAAGGGAAGGGCTAGGTGCCTGCTTATAAACATATAAATGTATTGCCTAGCAACTTTGGAAACGAATCAAATCACTAATCCTGATTTAAGAAGGAAGAAGCAGAAAGGAATCTTGATTTAAAAATGGAATTTGGAATAGATTTAGTTCTAAAATGTTTTAGAGACATCACAATAGCCTTCTGTAGACTCACAGCCCAGAGGCAGCTCCAACAGAGAACTGGCCCTGGGGCTGCGACTGTCCGACTGTTTGTTACAGACCCTTTCTCCCATGAGCAGGGTCTTCGCAGAGGCGGCCCAGTTCCCACCCGAAGTGTCGCTGCGGACTGGGTCATATTTGCCAGGCAGTGCTGACTGCCCTCCATCTTCCAGCTGGACAAATTAGGAACAGGGCAGGGCCAGCGTTTGTTTTTGGCTTTGCTTGTTTTTCTTTTTTTCTTAATGCCACCTCCAAACCTGATGGATGCTATTTTTAGACATAAAATAACTCAGAGTATTGACCTAAACAAGTGCCCGTTGTTTTTTAGAGCACGTACTTCTTCTAAGACCCTTGGAGTCCCTTAACAGCACATCAGCATGCTGTTGTCCTCAGCATCGGGTCCCTTGCAGGGTGACGCCAGTGAGCCCAGGGCCAGGACTGCAGCCTCCATCCTGGTGCCCTCCCCAGGGGAACTGCAGTCTTGCAGGCTCAGAGTGAGCCCTGACTGCAGGAGTGGTCAGAGACAGATTTCCAGGCTGCATCGTGTGGGTGCCTCCGCCATAGTGATTGAAGGAACAGGCCAGTTCTGTTCACCCACCAGGCGGCAAGTCTTCAGCTGCCTCTCAGCATGATGAAAGATAAGTTGAGCGCAAAACCACCTCCTGTGGAAAGGCACTAAGATGCCAAGCTGACCATGCAAAGAAGGCAACTGAAGGCTCCCCAGGCCTTCTCTGGAGCCTTTGTGAAGCTCTGGTCTCCTTAGAACTGGCTTCCAAAGGAAGAGTCCAGCTTTGAACTGAGGCGCAGCCTGCACTGCCCCTGGCCCTGGGTCCATCCTCTCCGTGGGGCGCTGTCCACCCCTCTCTGCACAGGTGGCCCGTGAGAGGGAGGCATTGTTGCCACAGTGAGGTCCTTGTTCTGCCCACCATCTACCAGCGAGGATGTCCTGCAAACGTCGTATGAACGTATTGCTGAGTGCAGAATATTTCACCAGCCTGCTTAGGGAGGACAGACGAATCAAAGTTTGAGGTAAAAGTGGAGGAGAAGGCTGGTTGGCAACACAGATGGTAGATGTGAACAGGCCACTAAAAACCAGCCCTGGGCCCCTGGGGAAAAAGAACAGAGGAGACTTCAAAATGTTGTCAGGAAATCAGGCAAGACACAGGAGGAGAGAGCGCCAGTTCCACTTGCCCTGCATTGCAGTTTCGCCCAGGGCCACAATGCTGCCACACAACCCTGAAAATCATCAAGAGTGGCATCCAGTACATTGGCGAGACCCAGAGAATTCACTGGGGCCAGGCATGGTGGCACACTCGTACTCCCAGCTCTCCGGGAGGCTGAGGCAAGCAGGTGGCAAGTTCAAGCCCAGCCTGGGCAGCACAGTGAGACACTATCTAAAACTTAATGGAGGAGGGATAGCGTCAGTGCCAAGGACTTGTTCAGTCCCAGATGAAAAAATTAAAATAAAAATAAAAGTATCCGACACTTGTCACTGTAACATCTCCCCAAGAAGTTGATCAGGCTCATGCTGCCAAAGGACCTCAAAGACACAAAATGCCAACTTAGTTAAAATATGGAGATGCTGTACTACTTCCTGTGACATCAGTCCACCCGGCTTGGCAGCAGCCCCCAGTCCACTGATGGGGAGACTGTCCACACCTGCAAACATCACACCTTAGAGACCACCAAGGTCTTCAGATTTCTTGTAAGACCCAGTAGTTCCTAATTCAGCTTTCTACTTGAAGAAATGCTCTCTGAAATGCCCACCTTACAATAGAGTGTTACTTGTTTATGGGATTCCAGTTCCAGTGTGGGTAACTTTTGACAGTGAGGCTGCCTGCACTGACAGCATACCAGGACACAGTGAAGAATGTCTTGATTTAATTTTCTTTAATGTGTTAATTCTGTAATTGCTTCCCAGCCTCACAGCTCGGTAGTGTTAGGGACACGAAGTACTTACTGGGGGTGCTGGTGGGGAAGAACATTTTGTAAGCTTTTTTAGACATTGATGAGTGGACAAAGAACATTATTTTGCCAACAATTTCTTTAAGGCTGTTCAGTTAAGAAGTAATTAGGGTAAATAAAGCATTGAGGGGTGTAGGTCTATGACAACTGCAAAACATACAGTGAGATATTATAAGATAAAAAGTGATCACACCATTAGGAGACACTTTTTGCTTGTGAAATACATCTGTGTGTCAAAAGAAGTTGCTAGCAGGTTTTGCGGGCCGGATCATGCTCCGTGGACATTCTCTGCCTCACGACAGTGGTACTAAACCTTTCTCCACCAATTGTTTTCCAAGGTGGGCTGGGATAGGGTAGGGGGATGAAGGCACAGAGAAATTCGAGGGTGGAAAACACAATTCTGTTAAACCAGGACAAGAGAGGAGAGGTGAAAAAAGCATTGCCAGGCCCCTGCGCGAGCCTGAGCTCCACAGACACCCTTGGCCTTCAGCCCCACTCCCACCTGGCCTGCATGAGGCAGGAGATGCTGGGAGGCCGTTGCCTTTCCTGTAAGATGATGGCAGTAACAGCAGCACTCTCCCCGTGCCTATGTGCTGTCTCTAGAGCGAGGAAGGGGTTGTCACATCCATAGGACCCTGTACCCAGCAAGCGGCCATGGCTTGAATGTTGCAGCATGGCCTTTCCCTCTTCCTGCCTCAGCTACCCTGCCCAGAACCTCAGAGAGAGCTCACCTGAGGTGTCTAGCTGCCCTCTTTGTCCTGCACCTGCCTTTGCTCTGGGGGGATAAGAGCAGTGTATGAGAAGAGAGGGCAGTGGCTGGAGCGTAACTCCGTGGTGACACACTTGCTCAGCATGCACAAGGTCCTGGGTTCAATCCCCAGCTCTGACAGAATATTTTAAACTGAGCAACCACAGCAGGGGGAATTGGGACAGCCTCCTTGAGTCACAGATCATCCCCTGTAGAAAGTGACGAGTGACCCCTTCCAGTGAATCAGCAGGAGGCGGGGTTGCGCTGTGTACCTACAGGCGGACATGGGGAATGGAGACAGCAAAGTGCTTAGTGATTACTGTGCCTTTAGAAAGCGCCTGCCTCTCAGACTGGTTCTGTGCACCTTGCCAGCTAAGAACCGCAGCTCCAACCTGTGACTATTTTAGGTTGTTTTTCATTAAATGAAAACGTTCTCTCCAGACCTGGTGTCCACTTGCCCACAGATAGTGCATTGGATCACTTTGAATGTTGCTGGTCACGAACACTCTAAAAAGAAGAAAACTAGCTGCTTCCCAGGTTACCTGTCTTTGTCCCAAAATATGCCGATTCGCCAAGGAAAACAATGGTCGTTTATGTCATTTCTTCCAGAACATAATTGCTGAGCACGAAATTCGCAACATCTCCTGTGCTGCCCAGGACCCAGAAGACCTCTCCACATTTGCTTATATCACAAAGGATTTGAAGTCCAATCACCACTACTGTCATGTGTTTACTGCCTTCGATGTGGTGAGTCCCCACCCTCTTGGGCAGACTACATATTTCCCCAAACTTGGCTTGTTTTCCAAGTAGAAAGGTATACCAAGTGTATTAGTTTGCTCACGCTGCAAAAGGCCACAGAGTGGGGCACTTAATCAACTGAAATTTATTTTCTCACATTTCTGAAGTCCAAAGCCAAGGACTCAGCAGGTTTGGTTCTTCTGAGATCCTGGCTTGCAGCTGGCTGCCTTCTGAGTGGGTCCTCACATGGTGGTTTTCTGTGCGTGGATGTCTGTGCCTAAATTTCCTTGGAAGGATCCAATTGGATTGGATCGGGGCCTGCCCTAATGGCCTCATTTTAGCTCAGTCATCTCTTTAAAGGCCTTGTCTTCAGATACTACCATGTTCTGGGTTAGAGCCTCAACCTAAGAATATGGGGCTGGGGGTCACAATTCAACCTATCGCACGAGTGGAAAGTATTTAGGCAGGCTTAGCTTTTCTTGGACTTCTCATGTTTTCACTCTTCCCTTCCATTTAGAACTCTACCCCTGTCTCAAGAGTCATTACTCAACTACCAATGTCACTTCTCAGATTTGAGAAAGTCCTTCTTTCCTCCGCTACCAAAATACAATAAAGATCTTCCAGCCTCCTTGCTCCTGTACTACATCTGTCAGTTTCTCTAGAGCACTCTAAGTTCTGGGTGTGTTTGCCTGTACAATATTTACAGTTTTCCACATAGGACAGCAGTTCAATTAGACATTGGCAAATAATCCTTGCAAACTCCATTGTCTGGCCCAGATGCTCATTCAGAAGTTAGCCTTATAATTACTTCCTTATGATATTATTCCTCTTATAGTCATAACTTGTCATGAAGCCTCAAAACTAATTCATATATTACAAATTTAGAAAATGAAAACCATTTATGAAACCAGCACATGTTCCTTTAATATTTATATACCCTTATGATGAAAAAAGTTACTGATATAAAGCATTGAGCAGTCTGCATTTGAAGCAGACAGAACAGGTATGACTGTGAGCCAGAAATAGTTTGGAAGCAGAAGAATGTGCGAATGCCAATTTAGGTGTATTATTCACCCTGCTCAGTGATTTAAGTGTATAGATTTAGAAAATTAGTCAAAAATCACAGTCTCATAGATTGCTGCAAAGACATCCCATGGTTCAATGTCAAGGGTAGAAGACTGTCTGAAGCAGTCTCTTCCAGTTTTGACAAATACCATGGGCCGAGGGTGACCAAATTCCAAATTTACACCATCCTCAGGCCTGCCAGCCAGGTTCATGCTCAGACTTTTATATCCTGCTGCAGGTACAAATGAAAAACATACGTACAGTGCCCTTTTAGGTTTTTGAAGATTGAAAATGGGAAAGAATGCTCATGGGCCTACAAAAAATTCCTTCTATTTTGAGAGGCATGAGGAGAATAATATAAAAACAGTATGTGGGCGCAGTGAGGACTGCAAAGCAAAGCCCTCCAGGGCCACTCTGAATATGTCTGGATGCATGTGTTTGCACAGGATTAAAGTGTTGATTAAAGTCATTTCATTCAGGGTTGACAAGAAGGTGCAGTGGTTGATTTCTGACGCTTTAAACATAACCTTCCATTCTTGTGAAATTCAGTTGTTTCTTTAAACAGTCAAATTTGATTCTATCCACATCTATTTTGGTTTGCAAGCACCACTTTTCTCTATGGGAGTTGGACTGGTGTAGAAAGAACAAGTAGACTGAAGTTCACATCCTAGGTCAGCTGTCTCCTCACTGCCTGCTTTTAGACAAGTTTGGGAACTTTTCCGAGATCCAATTTCCTTATCCTTAAAACAGAGACAAAGATTTGTGCCTCACCAATTTTCACCAGGATTGAAATAAAATAATAGTATGCAGAGTGTCTCACAAATAATAGGGGTTCAATGCCGGCTGCTTCTCCGCCGCCTCCTTCTCCCTGCCTACTGACATCATCCCTTTTTCTGCTAAAAGACATAAAATAGACCTGCCAGAAGGGTATTTATCAGGCAGTGTTTCCCTACTGCCATTGTAAAAGAGCTGAAAATGGAGAAACAATAAATAAAAATTCAAATAGAAACAACGGAAAGCAAGCATCAACCCTGCAGATCCAGTGGCTGCTTTAGCAGGGTCCTCATTGAACAGCACCATTAATATTCTGATTTTCATGATGATTTGCAGCCTTTCTCTCAGTAGTGCTACATTTTTCCAAATAAAATTAGTATTGAGGTGATATGTAGCTTGCTTTCATGAGAGTATCAAGAGTATCAGTCAAATTAAAAATGATGCCTCAGGCCATCTGCCTCCTTGGTTATGTGACACCAAAATATTCAGCTAAAATGGGGGAAGGGGTTAGTCAAACTAAAACAGTTTAATGCTATGATCGACAAGATGTCCCTGACACATTCGGGAAATGTGTGGAGAATTGCTTCAACTGTTATCTTTTCATCCAGATGTTTGATTTAATGTGGACTTGCAGTAGCTTGGGATTGTCATATCAGCTCGAAGGATTTTCGTCTTACACAAACCTGGCATTTTAATCCTCTCAAGGTGAACACAGGTTGTCTAACTTCAAAAATAGTAACAAAGGATACCAGCCTTGACCTGTGCCTTTGAGCAGTTCTGAGATGCAACAAGCTTTGCTTCTGCTAAAAAAAAAAAAGTCTTCTTTGAGCATGAATTTTGTATCTTTATATAGGGCAGTTCAATATTTCAGTCCAATTCTAAAGTCTTAAAATTCTTTTGATGTGAATCAGTCCCCTGGGCTGCCCCAAATGGCAAAAAAAACACCCAAATACCTTATAATGATGCCTCGAGTATACATGCATCCTTTAGGCTGATATGAATGAATACTTATATATTTTTAATTGCAAGGTTTTGACCTTCTTCCTTTTATGGGCTGCCTGTTTTTATGTACAATCATCACATATCAAATGTTTTTAACTGCTGTCATCAAGAAAACTGAATGATGTCTAGAAAGTTTCCCATTTATGGACAGTTAGATTGGAAGTTCAACATTTTCCCATAGAAATCCTGTGGTTAAGAAAGGGACCACAGAGTCCCCCCTACAGAAGCTAGCATGTGTGCCACTCTGTACCTACAGGTCAGTACCAAGCCCACTCTGAGCTCTATAATCTATGCCCTCCCATCACAGGAGCCAATTTCCGTTCCCGTCACTAACTGGCTGTCTCTACAACACATCGCACCCTTAGGAGAACAAACGTTTCCCAAACTCCACCTTCCTAGCAGTGACATCTTAGGGGACGAGAGAGCAGCAGAAGTGGATAAAAAAGGGGGATGTGTTGTGAGAATGGATTCAGCTTTCATCTCCTCCACTCCAAATGAATGACAGAGTATGGGACTGCAGGAAGGAACAGGTATTTCAGTGGCCACTGGATCCCCTGGTTGTAGTCATCTTCCAAGAAGGCCACTAAAGACAAATGACACATACAACCAAGGTGATTTGCAAACTTGTCTTCCCTGTTTTATTCACTCAGTTATTCCAGATTCCTCTGTCTAAAGTTGACATCCGTAGATCAGAAAGATGCTGGTGCATTCGCTATGGGAGTACTAGATGTGCTTTAAGATTCTGTGAGGGGCCTCACTCAATAGTTTCAAATGCTGGAAGATTTTCTTTTGCTCTTTTCTTCATAGCATTAAAAGCCATGCCTTTGCTGCTAGACCCTTGCTAATTCTCACTTTTCTATAAAGAACATGTTTGCAGCCGCTGATATTTTTAACCCTGCTCATTTCTCTTACTTGCCCCTCCCCGATTGTGTCCTTGCTAGTGTGGGTCACGTGGTGTGGCTGAGTCTGGCTCGGAAAAGTGGAGGGAGTGTGGAGTTGAGTTGCTGGTGGGACACGGAGCCCCCTCTTCCCCGTGCCTTCTGGGCTGAGTGTGGGGAGGCAGAAATGACAAACGCAGGAAAACACGGGCGATAGACAGCACAGCACCGTACTCCACCACCGGGAGGGCGCCGCAGCAGGGCGAGGAGCACGAGACTCACCCACTGGTCCTGTCTTACAGGACTAGGAGCCGGAGGGTGGGAGGAGAGGGCAGGTTAGGAGACCAGGTTGGGAAGGTTACGAATGAATTCAGCTTCTGTGTCCTCTGCTCCGATCTCAAATAAGTGGGTCCAACACCGGCGTGTGACTGTGGGTCTGGTGCAAGTTTGTTTCTTGGTTTTCTTATCAGTTTAATGAAGTTTAAATTCCTAAGCCTTCTCTGAAATTCTAAGATTATTATAATAGAGGATTGAGGTTCCCAGAGAAAAGGGCTTATTTAGGGCTTATGGTGGAAAGGTTGTCTCACACAGTGCAAAATTGAAGGTGCAAAAGAACTTCCGGTGCTGGTGTTGATGTTATTGACCTCTGACAACTAAATTAACGTTGTTTGTAGAGGAAGGTTGTCTTGTTTGTTCTTTCTCATTTTCTCTAACTGAAAGTAGCCTCAATCTGTTTGACTGTGATACTGTGAAAATAAATGGCAACATAAGAAAATGTGAACTTGCCTACAGCCCTTGAGGCTGAACTGAAGCTTTCCCTGGCTGGTCCTCCACAGACACGGCAGGGTAAAGAAGCCATTCTGGGGCCTGGAACTCAACAGCGAGTGGGGAGGGACCTGGGAGCCCTAAGAGCAACAAATGGCCTTGATTGAATGACCTGTAGCCCTACTGCACCAAAACTGCCACTTCCCAAAGAAGGAATAAGGGCATTAACACTGCCCGTTTCACTGACCCACATCTGCTTTCCTGGCATACGCCACTGAGAACTAACCGAGCTGTAGAGCCAAAGTGAGTGGAGACTCAAGAGACTGAGTCTTTCTTTGCTCATCCTTTTTTGCGGATGTTAGCATCAGTCCCATTTTTTGGTAAAGTTAGAAAGTAGGCATTCTGTAATTCTGTTCACAGAAAGATGGCTTTACAGCAATTATACATGTTCAGTCCTCCTTTGGGATCCAAGGAGGATTGATTCCAGGACCCCTGTGGACATCAGAATCCACAAATGCTTGAGTCCCTTATATAAAATAGTGTAAATTTGCATATAATATGTGAGCATCCTCCTGTATACTTTACAGTGCATCAGCTCTAGATTATAATATCTCCTACAATGTCAATGCTATGTGAAAATGAGGTGTGAACAAAAATATAGTACATGTTTAATTTTTTTAAATGTATTACCGTAGAAGACACTTTGCCATTAATCCCCCTTAAAACACTTCCCCTCACTTCAGACACACTTATCCCATTGTTCTTGCCCTTTCTGAAGCAGCTCTGAAAGTCCTCTATCATGAGTGTCTTTAGTTGCACTGATGTGGCTGCCTGGATGTCCTAAATTAATTCAAAACGTTTGTAGCAATTTCTGTCCAAAGAAAATATTGCAACATGCCTTATCCACCTTATTCCTGGATCTGGCACCATGTGCTTTATGGCTCTCAGAGTCAAAATGACCATGAAAGGTAAACATTTTCAGTGGATTCAGGACATCAAGGCAGCCACAACAGTACACGTAAAGAGACTTGCAAAAGAGGACTTTGAGAACTGCTTCAGAAAGTGGCAAAAACAATGGATTAAGTGCATTCAGAGTGAATGGAAGTATTTTGTAAAGGGTTAATGTGCAAAGTGTCTTTTACTGTCGTAAATTATTTAAAATTTAAATATTCACTGTATGTTTTGATCATACCTCATACTTGTGACAGTTTTTTAGGAAATAATGACAGTTTTTTAAAGTCTGTACATGTTCAGTACAGGTGCACTATTTTCCTAGGAATTTTTAACCTGATATTGTCTCTACGGATGCAAGAGCCACCAGTGGAAGAAGCTGACTATATTCACTATGACCCTTCCAAAATAACCGGAAAGCAAGTGTCATGTTTGAGGGTGTGGTCTTTAGAATCAGCTTGGTTGTGAAACCCAAACTGGCTTTCCTTAGCTTCGTAGTGTGGGCAGTAAGGCCTCTAATCCTCAGTATCCTTGACTGCAAAACAGAGATACTGATGGTACTCACCTCCTATGGTCGCTCTAAGGATTACATGAGGTGGCGCATGCTCCGTTTCCAAAATGTGGTGTGCAGTAACTATTAGCTGCTGAGGGTCGGGACAATAGGAAAAGCAGCTACAGTGACGTAGTCTTGTCATCAGACCCTGGGTGAAGATTCACATCCCAGGCTTTGGTTTACAACATTTAAATTTGCTCCTGCAGTTTTCCTCTTCTGAAGGGAAAAGCGAAATTCCATGTGACTGCATTCCTAGATTTATTGCATGTCTATCATGAGTCAGGCACAGGTCGCTGATCTCCACAAGCTCATAGTCCAGTTGGAGAAAGAGGGACTTAGAAAGATACTCCCAGCACAACCATATCTATGATATCTGGAGTCATGCCAGCACCCAGCAGGGCTGGGACACCCAGAACAGGGAGGCGCAGATAACAGCTGGAGGTTTAGTTTGTGTAAACATGTGGTGAGTCCAGCGGCACGACAACTCATTAATTCACTTCAGAAGGATGAGCTCCGGGCATTAGCTAGGCATCTGCAGTAAGCAAAAGAAATATCATTTCGTTTACAGTTGGCTGTCCCAGCCACGAATTCCACATCCCACCCAGTCAACCAACTGTGGATGGAAACTATTTAGGAGAAAATCTGCATCTGTACTGAACATGTACAGACTCTTTTTTTCTTGCCATTATTTCCTAAACAGCGCAACATAACAAGTATTTACACAGCATTTACATTTTGTTAAGTAATTTAGAGATTAAAACTAGACAGGAAGTTGAGCTCAGGTTATCTGGAAATACTACACCATTTTATAGGAGACTTGAGCAGCCATGGATTTTTGTTTCCTGGGATACCAAGGGATAAATCTACTTGTTTACTAAACCAAGAAAATGGACTCGCCTATTTCAGAAAGATTTTTAGTACAAGGGTTACATTAGAAAGAGCTTGAATTTGGCAAGCACCCCATTTCCAAGGCCTTCCAAGTTGGCAGAACATTTACTGTAACTTCTAATCAGAGCTTTCTCTGTTGAAGAGGAGAAAGGGGTTGAAATCTGGCATTTTATCCCGTTCACCCCTTCTGCAAATCCTTGCCAAGTAACAGGATGAAGACTTCTCCGCTGGCAGGCCCATCTCTCTGGGATCGGTGTCAGAAGCCTGCAGCCATGGCACCTTAGACAGCGGTTCTGAGGCAGGTGACCACGGGCCACAGTGTGCAGCCCCCATGGAAAACCTGGACTGTTACAGGAAAGCAGGTTGCGACTTAGTAAGCAGGCCAGGCTCCTGTACGTGGGGCCAGGTGTGATGTTTCACCTTCACAGCTATGGCAGAATGTGCTGCCACCTTCCAAAGGACATTTCTAAAGATGTATAAAGGAGCCCATTCATGATACGGCCTGATGTGAAAAAGCAGCTTAGGAAACTGCACATGAAGTATGATTCTAATTCTGTGTTTAGGTTCACATCTATAAATATTCAGGGAGCATATGAAAGTATATGTGTGCATATACAAATGTAAAAAGAAAATGCACCAAAATAGCTGATATCACAGCTATATACCAACTGTGGTATTTTATAGGTGAATTTGATTTTCCTCTTTATTTTCAATATTTTGCACATGTACCCCTGTTATAATTGGGGGGAGTAATTGCATGATTCTTTTAGTTAGCTGAATTTACCCCTAAAGTCAGTATCTGTGTGTTGGCCAAGTGACACATTGGTCCGGGCCCAGATGACCATCTTAGCAGAATTCCTTGTATTTATTTCTAAATGCAGAAGACTTGTAATTGGGCAGCATTTCTTTCTGTAATCAATGAATGTTCATTTCTGGCTGGAACTTGAGAGAGCTAAGTATCGGTAGAGCTAAAGAGATGTCAATGGATTCTAGAATATGCCCAGAATATTGAAGTTATTTTTACCTGAAGACGTGGGTGAAGCCAGTTGTAAATAAGGCTTACTCCAGCTCTTAAAAAACAAGAAGTACAAGCAAAATGCAGCCCAGAGAGAGATGTGCCTTCTTTCTAGAGACCCCACCAAGGACCCAAACTGAAAACACTTTTCCCTGTCATCAGGCCCACAGTGACATTGCTGACATTTGTCCTGCATTTGTTCACGGGGCCTGCTTGTGAGAGAGGAGATGCAAGGAAGGAGTTGGCTCTGGCCATCCACGATCACCCTTACTTGTCCCTAAGGTACAAGTCCTCTATCCTAGGGACCTGCTAGGCAGTTTCCTTCTTCCCTTGATCAACAAACACTGTTGGGCACTGCACATGCTAAGCCCTGCACATGCAAAGCCCAAGGGGACCTAAGCCCTCCAAAGGCTCAGTCCACTGGGGAACCAGACCTATAAAGAGAAAATCATGATAAACGCCGAGCAGCGAGCAGAGCCATGCCCAAGGAGGAGGGTTTCATACTTAGTCTGGGGGCCAAGAAAAGGGATTCAAAGGCGGCTCTCGGAGGACCTGAGTGAGTCTGATGCCTGGTGAGTCTTCAGATAACTCACCAGGCAAAGTTGGATGAGGAAAGGATGTGTTACCAAGACAAAAGCCATTATGTAGTAGCAAAATGCTCAGCCATTTGGAACAGTTTTGGGGCGTGATGTTTAGAGTGAGGGCATCTCTGAGATGGAGGCCAGCCTAGGTCATTTCCTCAGAAAGCGCTAGATGGTGGGCTGGTGAGTCCTGCAGTCAGCCCCTTAGTAAAGTGCTCCTGTCCAGCATCACACCCAGTGTCCATGCTTCTCCAGGCAGCTGTAGTCTGTCTTTTACCATCAAGTGAATCTATATCTTCCTGGTAAAGACTGAAATCCTGGACCCCCAGGTGAGGAGGGACCAAAATGTTTCCTGGACCAGACCTGTTCTTTGGTGCCATCTCCTCAGTGGCAGTGACAGGTGCCATGGGCTGCCAACCTTGGTGGATTTTGGACACATAGGTGACCCAGGGACTTTGCTGCAGGTCCCTGGCCCTGATACACAATGTATAGAGACTCCTCAAAGCTCTTCATGACTCCTAGGTTTCTCTGTCCTGGGCTCCCAGTGAAGCACAGCCCTTTCTTTAAACACATCGGAGTCTGTACCTCTTCATGGTGAAGGCCTCTGCGGGCCCCAGGAAGTGGCCCTGCCAACCCTGGAGGCCATAGGATAGCCAGGTCTGGCCGGGAGCTTCCAGTGCTGTGGGACTTGCACATTTGTACCTTCCATTCTGGTCACCAAAATGTAGCCGTTGTTTTTTTAATGCTAATGGAAAGCGCTGCTGGGCAGGGCAAAATGATCTGCTTGTGAAAATCAGCCTCCCAGCTGGGCAGAAGGGCCTCTGTCCCTGTGCTGTCCTTTCCCCCTCTCTCAGCTGCTTCTTTTCTGTCATATCCATCAGATGATGTGGAGCCCAGGTCAGTCTTTTTGGCAGTAGGGGGCTAAACAAAGAAAGCCCTTGCATAAATGTTCAGATGGACCCATGGACACTCTGCATGCCTCATCCATTCCAAATGTAAGGCACTCTCCGTGACTAGGTAAAATAAAAAAGTCTGAAAATATAGACACACACATCTGAATTAAAAGTTCAGACTAAGAGGAGGATCCACACCGAAAGTGCTAGAACAATTCTAGCACTAATATTAGAGCTGACAAAAAAAATTAGAGCTGAAGCACAGATGCGGCTCTGAGCTTCCTGAAGGTCAAGGCAAATAGGGAAATGCAGTAATTATGGCTCCATAGTTCATGGACAGAAGAGTACAAGGTGTGGTCAGAAGCATCGTGTTTACTTTATTTTTTTTTTTGGTTTTTTTGGTACCGGGGATCGAACTCGGGTCCTTGCGCTTGCGCAGCAGGTGTCAAAAACACTGAGCTAAATCCCTGGCCCCGTGTTTACATTTTTACAAGATACACTTGCCCCTCAGACTTCTCCTTGCTTCAAACACTCATCCCATCATTCTTGGCCACTCTCTCAAGCAGTTCTGGCGTCCTCTTTCGTGAGTGCTTTTAGCTAGGCTGTTTCGGCTGCCTCAGTGTCCCGAATTGATTCAAAACGTTTCCCTTTTGCTGCCATTTTGATTTGGGGGAAGAACCAGAAGTCGCAACAGGCTAGATCCAGTGAATAAGGTGAGGCAGACACACCATGTGTTTTTGTGAAACATTATGCTTTCCATTGGACGAAATTCAGCAGTGGCATTGACTGTATTTTTGATCACAGTTTAAAAAATCCTTCTCAATGAGGCCTTCTAGAACTAATGCAAAATGTGGCAAGAATAATGGGATTAAGTGTGTCCAAATTGAGGAGTATTTTGAGGGAAATTAATGGCAATGTGTCTTTGACTGTAATAATTTTTAAAAATTTAAACATTCATTGCATATTTTGACCACCCCTTGTCTGTCCCTTCCTCTCAGAAAACAATTCTCTGAGGAGCCTTAAATTGGAAAGAACATTTTTCCTGGGTCTTCATGAGTGGATACTGTGTCCGTGTCTTGGCCAGAATTCATAAGGTGCATCTTCAGTGCACAAGACTGCTTCTGAGGGGGCCCTCAGTGAATGTGGGGCAGGACACGGCAGATCTGAGGCAGCAGGAAAGGCAGAGTGGCCCCTTTGTTCAAGCACTAGCTGGCCTGAAGTCACACTGGGGTTTGGGTCCTGCCTCTGTGATGTAGTAGCAGTGTGAGTCGGTCAAGTTAATCAAATGCATGGATCCTGAGTCTCTCACCAGGCTGTAAGATGACAAATCCTACCCTTCAAGGTGTTGTGGGGGTGACATAGTCCACGGGAGGCCAGAGTCTGGTCCTGGGGCCTGGTGCGCAGCATTGAGTGACAGTTGCTGGGCTTTGTCATCGCCATGGAGGGAATGAAACTCACTTCAAATTCCCAGGCAGGCAGCCTTGGGCAGGATCGTCCCCCAAATGTTAGGGAGTAGACTGACTGCATGTCCACAAGCAAGTGTCCACCCGACATCATTTTCAAGTGGGCTGGGCAGAAGTTAGACTGTAGGAGGTTCAGCTCTCAGCTGTGGACCGGGAGTGAGGTCTCGGGGTTGCAGGTATCAGAAGAGCGGGGTGTTTCACAGTTCAGCCGAGCAGCTGTTAGACTGGTCTGCAGTGTGGAAACTGAAGAGTCAAAACAAGATTCGTGGTCAAAAGTTTGGCAGCCTGCTGGGACGTGAGGGGCCCATGCTGACCCCCATCACCAGGGCCCGCATCTTGCTGGAAAACTGCCCGGCCCCCTCGGCCAAAGAAAGAGGCACTCAGACGGCAAGTGAAAAGAAAGAATGAATATGAGATTACTTCTCTTATTTTTAATTGCCACCAAAGTAGAAAACTGTTATAAGATTATAATTTTCATTTAAATAAAGTTTAAAACATACAAAGAAGAATCACCCACAGTGAGAGTGTAGCTCAGTGGTAGAGGACTTGCCTAGCATGAGCAAGGATTTGAACCCCCAGCAGTAAAAAAAATGGAAGAGAGGAGAGAGAGACCCATAGTCTTAGTCCTCACTGATAACTACTGTTAACATTTTGATGTGTATCCCTGTTTCCTATGCACACATAAAGATCTCTTGAAACATGTTTGAATGCAAGCATATATTATTACGTGGTCTTTTAACCAATTTGTGGTGGGTTTGTTTGTTTTGAGACAGGGTCTCGCTGTGTAACCCAGGCAGTCCTTGAATTCATGGCAATCCTCCTGCCTCAGCCTCCCAAGGACTGGGACTACAGGCATGCACCACCACTCCTGGCCTAACCGGGTTTTTACAAAATGACTCAATTTTCATGTTAAATGGCTACCTACTATGTAGTATACTTAATCAGACCCCTGCTCATGAAGTTTTTACAAACTGCAGTGAGTATATTCCATTGATCTGAGCCTAAAAGTCTATCAAATTAAGAAAAAAGAATCCTAGTGATGCACAAGTGACTATAAATCAATTGCTTGAGTGGCCAGAGCTCTTCCTCGGGGACAGGTTGCCTGTGATGTGTGCTGCCATTTTTCCAATAGCAGAATGATGAATGTGCCGAATATGGGCCTAGTGACCCGGATGAGGACAGAGGGGCGACTCTGCCTCTCCCTGAGCCTCGGGGTGTCTTTCAGTGAGCCGCTGTCTGGATCTGTAGGCTGGACTCCAGCCAGGCACAGGGGAGCTCAGCACAGCTGGGTGAAGTCAAGCTGCAACCCTCTGCAAATCAGTTTGCATCCCCTGACCACCGTTACAGTCCCTCTGTAAAACAGGGTGGTTCCTTAGACTTCTCTTGCAGCATTTCTTAATCCAGAGATCAAAGTCCCTGGGGAAAAGGAGAGGAAGAGGAGATTTTGATGTGGCCCCGCTGCTCCCCATTCAGTTAGCGCTGCCTGCCTTTGTGGAAAGAAGCCGCTGCTGGAGCAGAGTGTTGATTCCAGCCCCGGGCACCCTCGGGATAGCCAGGAGCTGAGGATGCTGTGTTCATGGTCCTCGCAGGATGCAGGCAAACGGCATGGCCTTTAGCTGCCCTCAGCCAAGCCAAGATGGGGGATCATCCTGGGGCTTCCTTACTTCGTTTTCAGATTTTTAAGATTACCTAAGTCTCTGTTTTACCTCAAGTATAGCTTTACGTGGTCGCGAACACAGCTTGTTGGAATACTTGGTCTAGAAGCCCAGCTCAGCCAGGTGCTGGCATTGGGAGCAAGTTCTTTCTTTTGCATTTCTGGGATTAGTTTCTAACCTATAGCACAGAGATGCTACTAGGACTAAACAGAGTCCACGTAGAACACCGACTGCCCCTGGGGCAAGGCACATAGGAAATAAACGTTAACTGCTATTGTCATTGGGTCAAATATTGTAATTAGCAAGTTTCAGTCCAGAATGGGGGCTACTGTACATGGAATTAGCCCCTATTTTGAGGTAAGAAAACCGGAGCTCAGAGTATGCTCTTTCTAGTAATCATTCTCAGCACCCAAATCAAACACGCACATATACACACCACCTTTTTCCATCAGTGGTCTATATGAGGTAGAAAGCACTTACTCAAGGCCACTTGCAGCCAGGCGTGATGGCTCACACCTGTAACCTCCACACTCTGGGAGGCTGAGGCAGGAGGATTATAAATTCAAGCCCAACCTGGGCATTTTAGCAATTTAACAAGACCCTGTCTCAAAATAAAAATAAAAAGGGCTGGGGATATAGCTCAGGGCAAAAGCCTTGGGTTCAATCTCCAGTACGGGGTGGGAGGCACCTGCCATAATCAATATAGAAAACTTGTGCTCGGGCCCGGGATTTAGCTCAGTGGTTTCACCGCCTGCTGCGCAAACGCAAGGACCGGAGTTCGATGCCCGGTACCAAAAAAAAAAAGAAAAGAAAACTCGTGCTGGAAAACTGAAGGTGAATGGCGATCTTCCACTAGGCTACTTGAGGTCGGAGACAGGCCCGCAGGTCATGACACTGGATGAGTGAGGTGGTGAATGCGGAGCAGAGTTTGGATTCACACTCGAGGTGGCAGTACCTGGAGAGGAGAGGTGGTGTGCCGATTTAAAAGGCGACTACAAGGGCCAGGGATTTAGCTCAGTGGTGCCGCCACCTGTCTCTCAAGTGCAAGGACCTGAGTTTGATCCCCCCACCCCACCCCCCCGGTACAAAAACTAAATTAATTAAATAAATAAAAGACCACTACCGCTCCGTGGTTTGGACCAGCGTACATGAAGGGTCACCTTCACACTACTGTGGTCACATACCTCAGTGTCCCCATGCAGGAGGACGCTGCTCATGGCAGCTCCGAGTCTGGCTTCTCCCCTTGGTGCTGGCCAGACGAGGGTCAGCCAGCCTTCCATAGCATCAGCATCAAGATCCTGCCCAGCAGGAATCAGGCTGGTCACGCACCTCTGCTCTTCTCAGTACGTGGGGCTCCCTCCACTGGGGTGTCTCAGCTGGCTGCAGATGCCAACCGCAGGTCTCCTCCATGCGCCCTCTGCCGGATGGCGCCTTCTCTCCGGCATCGGGGCCTGAGCTGGGGTGGTTGGACCTCTGTTCCTGTCCTTGTGCCCCACTCAGCCTGCTGGCATGCGACCTTGCGCTGGACCAACTTTCTGCACAGGACTGGCCTCCCACAGCGAGGGCTCCGAGAGACCTGGGCAGGGGCTTCGAGGCTCCTGACATCTGTGACAATGGGATTGTAATTCTGTTACTACTGGCCAATGTTATACCCTTAATGCAGAATCAAGCCCGGCTGCAGGATCACTTTCAGCTTTGTCCCTTGATGCCCTCCCCTCAGGATGGCAGCTGCCCTCCCATCGTCCTGAGGATCCTAAGAGGCTGGAAAATCGACCTAACATAAGGCTTCCTCGTCTGTGTGTGGGGGTCCCCAGGCTCCATTGGATGAGCACCTGTCCCCCAAAAGAACCCTGCTACTTGGGGACAGGCAGCATCGCACTCAACAGGCAGGTGTGTAACACAAACATCAAGGCTGCAGAACAGACAGAGGATAACAGCTCTTTACTGTACTCTGTGAAGCATTCTAAAACAAAACAAGATGTCAAGATAGAAGCCAAACCAGGAGGGGCCACTTGGCAGAAAACCTTCCAGTCCAGTCTCTGCACCACATTTAAGTGGTTTCCTAATACCAGGAATGAATTTAAAAGCAAAGGGCAGAACTTCTAACCCATTATCTTGCAGACCTTTCAGCTTCCCGTAATTGCCATGTGAAAAATCTCACTGGCTCAAATGAGCAGCTCTGATTTCCACTGGAAGACATGGGAGCTGTATTTCAGGAACCTGTTCTAGGCTAGAGGGATTCACACTCTTTAAGCTGCATGGGTCGGTGTGGGTGGGTCCAGTTGCCCAGCCAAAGCTCAAGTGTCTGCCCAGTGTGCAGGACACAGAGACACCAGCCGTCTTCCACAGCAGCAAGCCAAGAGCTGTGACTTCATCCTGATGCCAGGGCAGCCGGAAGCCCCATCCACCTTCCCAGGGGACCCACGGAAGCTCGAGAGGCAAAGCTGACGATGGTGTGAGTGGACTCAGCCTGCCTTGTGCAGTGCTGGCCAGGGGGGCTGCCTCCCAGTCCTCCCCACACCGCTTGTTGGTGTGTTACTAATTTACTGGTCTGACTCATCCCTGGAGGGAAACAGCTCAGCACTCACAGAGGGGAAGTGACTGGCTGCTGTGTGAGGTGAGGCGCAGTACCTCCAGCACCAGGCATCGTATCCTGAGGGGCCAGCACTTCCTCACCGGCACTCAGAGGAGACCCACACGCCCTCTGTCAGCCACCTCTCCACTTCTGAAGGACTCTCCCAGCTGGTTTGAGACCATGACCGTGGGCCTGCCACTGACCTTCGATCCGGTGGGTCCAGAGCCTGTGGGCCTCTTCCGGTGTCTCCCCACCCATCTCACCCGGTTGCTTCTCCAGAAACGCAGGAGCTAGGCTGCCTGCGTGTGCAGAGGGTGCAGCGGGGAGGGACGGAGAAGGCATAGCTGCGATCTCCGCAGAAGCAGACTCAGCCACCTCCGTGAGTCTGAGAGGCACTGTGGAGACATGCATGGGATAAAGCTTTGGACAGGTGACGCCCTATAGAAGGCTGAGGGAAGGTCCGGGAGACCTTTCCTCCTGGGTGTGGCATGGTGTGGCATCCTGGCCAGGCAGACCTCCTGTCTCTGGCTGATTGGATGATAAAATATGGAGTGGGCCCCCTGGGAGAGCAGAGCCTCAAGAAGTAGATGGCTAATTGGCTGTCTCAGGCCCTGGGTGCAGCTCGATGCTGCCACTGAGAGAGTCCACACCAGCATGACTAATGCCTCTCCCCTCCGCCTAAATTAGATTTTGATTGCGTTTCGTTAATGTTCACTGAATCACAGATGTTTGAGGTAAAAAGACCCAAACTTCTCAGCATGCCTCCCGTGGAGTGTGTGGAACCCTTGCCATCCTCACAGGAGTGGCTGGGGCTCCCGGAACCCGGCCGAGACTCCAGCAGTAACCCCTTCCCTTCCAAATGCTCGCACTTCGGGGACTTGTGGGGTCCTGTGGGCTGTGTGGCCTTCTGTGTCCGGGTTAACTGAGGAGCCAGGTCCTTAGCATGGCTAGAAACTAGTGTGCTGCACCAGTGACTAAGGCCTGTGGAGACACCAAGTGGGACCTGGGGGTCAGGTTCTTCGCAGAGCCCCTGAATAGGCGGAGTACTTCAAGGCCCCTCGTACATCCCTCCCGCGGCCCTCAGCCGTGCCACCCATTCTGACTGGCATCGTCCCTGTAATAAATGCGTTCTCATTTTTCTTGCAGAATTTAGCCTACGAAATCATCTTAACCCTGGGACAGGCATTTGAAGTCGCTTACCAGCTTGCACTACAAGCAAGAAAGGGGGGGCATTCCTCCACACTTCCGGAAAGCTTTGAAAACAAGCCCTCCAAACCCATCCCCAAGCCCCGAGTCAGCATCCGAAAGTCCGTGGTAAGTAGAAAAAACAGAGGCGTCCTGAACACCTCCAGCAGGGGGCTGGGTCGGCTTCGCAGGCCCTGCAGGGTGTGGGTGCCATCTAGAATCCAGGGCCTCAATTCCACCTCCTTCCCCTTGCCTCCTCCTGGCATCGTCTCAGCAAGGTTCCTGCAGTCCAAGAGGACCCTCTCCCTGAACCCAGAAGTCCAGAGAAAATTCCACTTGCTCTGTCACCTGCAGCCACCAAGAGGGCGGGAGGGCACTGCCACTCTGGTGAATCTTAACCTGAAGCCCAGGGACAGTTGGAGCTGTGCTCCCTGAGGCCTCCGCTGCCAGCCCACCAGGGGACAAGGCCTCTGGCAAGCCCCTGGCCTCCAGATTTGCAGAGGCTCATGGTGATAATTCCCCGGTACACAGTGGCGGATGCTAGATGCCCGGGCCAGTTTGCATTGTGCAAGGCCTGGGTATCTCTGGCGGCAGCTGAGGCTTCCTGCCTGTCAGCAGGCGCAGCCCTCCCTCCCCCTCCTCCTCCTCCTCAGCATCTGCTTCCTACAGGACCCTCCCCTCCCACAGCCCTGCAGACATCCTGTCCCAGGGCTCACGTGACGCCGGAGCGGGCTCCTCTGGTAGTAGCAACACCTCCGAGCTGGAAGGTTCCCAGCAGGCCTCCCGTCTGCCTTGTTCGCCGGCTGCCATCCTCATCCTAGAAACCCCAACACTGGCACCGGCAGGACCCCCAGAATGCCTCGCCCGCTGAGCCCCGAATCCTCCCATATGGAGCTTTCTCCTCGCCACAGCTCCCATCCCGTGTCGGGAAGGAAGGAGAGGCGCTGGTCCCGCTTGCAGAGGCAGAGCACGCCCCTCGGTGACCACGTGGCTTCCGGTTCACAACCTTCCTCTCCGCCTCACTCCCGTCTCCATTCTTGGCAACTCCCACAGCCATAGGGACGCGCCCCGGGCCCTGGCCTCCCTGTCCCCTCATGGTCTTCCTCCAGCCCAGCCCCTCCTTCATGACTGGCCAGGGCCCGCATCCGCACCTCTGAACCCTCAGCTCCCGCCTCGGCCCTGCCCCAGCACTCGGGATTACACGGTCCACTTCTTGGCGAACTTCCCCCCTTCATTGTCTAACAGACGTCTGAAACTTGAATGTCCAGGTCAGAATTCTCAGTTTCCCCCACAGCTGCCTCTGTCTCCATCCTCCTGGCTCAGTAGATGACACAACTGTTCACCATGAGGCCAAAGCTAAACCCGTGTCTTCCCCCCCCCGTGCCGCCTCTCCAACCCCAGGCAAAGCCCGTTCACTCCACCCTGGAGCAACCCCTGGCCTGCCCACTGTCCTCCAGGCCCTTGTCACTCTCAGCCTGGGCTGCCACCACCTCCGGTGAAGCCCACTGCACACCTCCAGTGGACTCCCTTCCTCACGTGCAGAGATCGGTCGTGGCACCTGTGTCCCCAAAGCGGAACCTGTCTTCTCACCCCACTCCTGGACACCCAGGCCTCCCCTGCCTTGAATAGATAGTGTCCACTCCTTCCCGAGCTTCCCTCCACCTGGAATATCCTCCCCCTGGTTACTGTCATTCGGGCCTCGCTCCATGAAGAGACTTTTCCTGACCACCAGGCTGCGATGGTCACCATCACACTCAGCCACATTGCTCTCTTTTCATTCTGTATAGCATTTGTATTGATTGAGGGCTTTTAAACTTAGTGCTTGTTTATTTTGTTTTCCTCCACAAAAATACAAGCTCCATGTGCATGGGGGCTCTGTGTTGTCGCCCCCCCCCCCGGCCAGCCCCATAGTGATGCTCAGCCGGTATCCTGGGTGAAGACATGGGAACCTAAGGCTGATCCCCCAGATGTGTCCCAGTGCCCGGGAACGTGCGGGATGTTTGGGGAATTACGTCTTAGACTTCTCTTCTACATCCCTTCCCTGTGGGCTGGATGTGGCCCCTCCAGACCACTTCCGGAAGAGCCCAGGCGGCTCACAGGATATGCACCCCCAGCCTCGGAGGGGAGCAGGAGGGCAGGGTGGATATCCTTCTCACCTACCTCCCGCCTCGGTCTGGCCCCGTGTTCCACTCCGAGCCTGTGAAGTGCTCCCAGCGGCCTGCGGAGACAGCCAGCCCCGGGAAGGCAGGTGCCCGCCATCCGCAGCCCTCGGGTCGCTTCCAGGCGTACCGTGGGAGAGGCTTCCGAAACAGAAGCGCAGGCGCGGAAGGCTGAGGCCGCAGCTGGGGGACGGTCTACCCCCAGCTCTCCCTCGGGCTCCGGGCTCAGAAGCCCCCCCCCCCCAACAACCGCTCTGCCCCGTGCAAGGGACTGACACGAGGGCGAGGCGGGTGGGCCGAGGTTCAGTGGCTGGGTCCTGCTTTCCCCGCCACCCCTGCTGTCCCTGCGTGCCCACCATGCCCACTGCCCCGGACCCTGGGACCCTGGGCTCTCCTCGCTGTCGCACGGCCTGGGGTTTGTCAGCACGCATCCGCTGTGCGCCTGCTGTATGCCCAGTCACCAGAAGTCCCCAAGGTCGAGGGGGTGGCAGTGAGCACACAGAAGCCCACCTTCGGGGCGCACCCCATGGTGGGGGTGACGCCTCTGACCGTGGGGAAAAAAGCAGAAGAGCAGAGCTGAAAAGTCGGGGTGCTCTTTTGTGCGGGGAAACGGGCACAGCTTCTAGGAGAGGAGGTCACTTGGGCACCGGGCCAGAGTGACCCCGGGGGCACGAAGGCTTGCAGGAGCCGGGAGGACAGAGACCCGGAGCACAGCCTGGGTTTCAGGGACACTGAGGAGGCCCTGGGCGGGCCGCCGGGCGAGCGATGACTTCCGGTTCAGTCAGACAGGGTGGGAGGCGGAAGTCACCGGGCTCCTGCGCCTCCTGCAGGAGGCGCTGTCCCCTGCCCGGCCCCCCGCGCCCTCGGCCCAGCCTCCTGGACAGGGCGGATTGTCTGTTGGTCTGCCTTTCGTCCGTCCAACACCCTCCCAGCCCGCAGCGTCGCTGCGCAGCAGGTGCGCCCGGGGTGGGCGCGGTCCCCAGGTGAGTGCCGCGCGGCCCCGCACACTGCCGGATAACGGGCATCAGCCTTTCTGTTTTAAAGCAGATCGACCCGTCTGAGCAAAAGACTCTGGCCAACCTGCCGTGGATTGTGGAGCCGGGGCAGGAAGCCAAGAGGGGCATTAATACCAAGTATGAGACCACGATTTTCTGACCGCCGCCGTGCCGTCCCGCGGCGTCCCCCGGTGCCTTGCTCGCCAGGCAGCCCGGGGCAGGCTTTCCTTCGCGCCTGTCGCGTCGCCGCCCGCCGGGAGGAAGGCCGCTCCGCGCTCCCCTTCGGGTGGCCTGACCCGGCCCAAGGCCGCCGGCCGCTCCTGTGAGGCTCCTGGCGCCCGGCGACGGAATCGCGACCAAGACTTTGCAGCCGCGGCCTGAGGCGCAGGGCAGGGGTCCCCGAGTCCCCGCGTCCCGCCTCCCCGGAGTCTCTCCAGGGACTCGGGCCTGCTGGCCTTGCTTTAGTCCGGGGTGACGACCTTTTTGTACAAACAAAAAAGAAAAGTCAAGGGGATCTCTAATACTGCCTAAAAGTATCAAAATCTTGGGTTTCTTTTCACTGTTGGCAGCGTTAAAGGTACAATCAGAACAGAACCAACTCCCACCCCCAGAAAGCAGCTGTAAAATCATTGTGTCACTAGGTATCCTAACGCAGAGGGACAACCGCCACCCCATGATTGCCAGGAAATTGTTTCCAATTTCTATATTTGTGGATTTTATATATAATCAACTATGTCAGATGAAGAAAAAAGTCTTTAAATCTAACGATGGATTCAAAATTTTAAGTGATTTAAAACAAGAATTTATTATGCACAGAGAAAAATTGTGTCTTGTATTAAATATTTTTTATTAAAAGAATGTTTCGTTAATGCATTGATAAGAAAACTAGGCTAGTTGTGCGGGATGTTTCTGGTCTAATTTCAAAATAACTAAATTTCTACTGCAACTACCAGGAGGACTGGTCAAAGTTGTGGCAAGATCCTGAGTTTGTCCACCGGCAGGAGATCCGTGGGTTCACACCTGCAGAGATTCTGTGGAGTATTTTTTTTAATCTTCAGTGTTTTAAAGAACACATCAGAAAAAATAATCTAGGGCTCCTGCTGTCAAGATTTCTATCATGGAAACCTTGCTTGAGAAAGGTGTTAATAAAACTCTATTGCAAAAATTTTTTTCTAGAAAAAATAAATACAAAAAAAAGAAATTCCAAAGTAATAAAACTTTTCTTTGAACAGATAAAAAAGTTTGCTTACTATTTGATTAAATAAAATTTAATTACATTTCTTTAAGGTATTTTAATTTTTTTAACGTCTCTGTGGAGTATTTGTATGATACCATAATGTATATTTATGTAGAATCAAATTATATAAATAGTACTAATACCATTATAGAAAAAATAACATTTTAATGTATATTGTTCTAACCAATCATATTGTGAATCATTTTGAAGTTCATTATAGCGCTATTGATAAATTGTGGAACTGTCTTAATGTTTTTTTATTAACCAATATTATTTTAAACCTAACTTGAGGTTATCAGTTACATTCATCAGTTGGTGAGTTTTAAAGAATAACTACATTTTATTTCAAACTGACATGTGTATATGGTTTTAGTTCAGTGTTGAAGAATTTTAATACAATATTAAATTACTTGAACTGAACAGTTCTCTGTATATATGTTCCCTATTCCCTGTTGATATGTATGTAGTAAACTGAGAGTAAAATAACACTAAAATATGGTACCAAAAGGAAATTGTATAGGGGCAAAGTAGTAGCTTTGCTGAAACAGAAGCATATGTGTAAATAAGCTTGGGCTTCCAGTTATAAATTTTGTAATTTTTGTCATTATTTATATCATATAAAAAAGCACACAGAATAAACAAGTTGTACAGTCGCTGGAGCCTGCATCATCTGTGAGTTCCTCCGCCTTCCCCAGGACAGAGCCTGGGGCCCAGCCCCTCACCTTCCCAGCTCCAGGGTCTCTGCACTGGCCAAACTGTTGAGAAAATTTGCTCATTTCCAAGTTCAACCAGTCTAAGAAATGAACACTGCCCCTCTGAATTTGAGCCAGAAGCTTCCATTGTCTTTGTTTAAATATTAAAGTCAGCTGAAAGGAATTGCAAAAGCAGAAACTTTCCAGAGAAAGCCTCCCCCCTTCCCCTCCCCCTCGAGCTGCATCCCAGATGATGGGTGTGGGGAAACATCACCTACACCTTCATAGCGCTTTCATCTTTCCCAGAACGCTGCACCGGTTGCTGGGCAAAGTGACAGAAGCCGTGTCAGGGCCATGCTGGATTTCGTGGTCAGATTTTCATCGCATACCACGTGACTTTCAGAGAAGCTCTCCCTGCTGCCAGTCCTAATCTCTTACCCTGTGAAACCCACTCTAACGCAGTCTCAGGGTGCTCCCGCTTGATTGCAGAGGCCCCAAAGAGCTAAGCCAGCCGAGGTGGGGTGCTGTGGAAGGCAGCTCTCCTGAAGGAGCCCTTGGCTGGGGGCCCTGGGCTAGTTTCCCGCTTTGTGTCCAAGACTTCTGCAATCTTATTCGTTATCTGTGTATCACGTGGGTTCTGTATCTATCTGCCCACTTGGGGTTGTGTAAGGGTCTCACTGTGTGTTTAGTGTTGGAACCCGCGGGGTAGATCCATCCCTGGGCGAAGAAGCCCCAGGGGTGGGGCTGTCCCCCAGGCCGGGACGTGAGGCCTGCTGCAGGGACTAAAAGACCCTGATCCACTCTCCACCCCCACACCCTTAGGGACCTGAGCCCACGGAGGCTCCACAGGCAGCAGAGCGGAAGCCCCAGCCCAGGTCCAGAATGCTCCCAACTGTCTTGTGGGGAAACCCTGACACTTTGGGAACTGCAGCCACCGTAGGTGGGAGACAGAGCTCCCTGAACGCTATTACTTGAAAAAGGACTAGAATTTGCAAAAAATTACTCCCTTTTAATTTTTTCTTTTAAAGTTGTATTCAATGATAATTTTGGGTGAATGAAGCCTATGAAAATTATGCCTAGTCAGTTCATTAATAAGTCATAGAAGTGATTTTTCTCAAGACCAGATCTCAAGTTGGAATACTTGGGACTATTACCAGCACATCTAATGTTTAGATAAGATGGAGCGAGAGACAAAGCACATGGCCACATTCTCAAAAATCAGTAAAATTCACACTTGGACTCCAACCAACATTGCTTCTATTTCTACAAAAAAAATGAAAATTTGGTAAGAGGTCTATCTTCCAGAGAACTGGAATATAATGACCATGTTCAGAAATCTATACGGAGGGCCGGGGATTTAGCTCAGTGGTGCCGCTGCCTGCCTTGCAAGCACAAGGTCCTGAGTTTGATCCCCGGTACCAAAAAAAAAAAAGAAAGAAATTCAGTGTTTAAGAAATAAGTGTGGGGCCGGGGATTTAGCTCAGTGGTTTTGCCACCTGCTGTGCAAGTGCAAGGACCCAAGTGAGATTCTACATGGCTAAATATCATTACTTAGAAAGGGAATCGTGCATGTCTTAGTTACTTTCTCATTGCTGAGCACAATATCCGACACCCACAATGCTAAGGAGGAATGGTTTCTTTTGACTCAGACTTTGTAGAGGTATCAGTCCATGTCAGTTGGCTCCAAGGCAGGTTGACATGGCAGAGGACCCTGGCAGAGGAGAAACAGCTCATGGCATGGTGGGCAGGAAGCAGAGAGGGATCAAGGGAGGAGAAGGGAGACCCTTCCAGTCCACAGTGCAGTGAAGGGTTTGGAAACACGGCTAAAGGTAAATCCAAAATAAGAACATCTTCAAAGTCATCATATAAGCTAGGAGGCGATCTTCCCCAGCTGCTGAAAGCCAAGCTTTGTGACCTCTAGGATGGGCCTCATCGCCATGAAACCCGAGTCCTCCACTCTCAGTTCTGACACTCCTTGTTGTAGTAGCCCAGCCATCTGGGCCTTTCAAATAAAAAATTTTTTAAAGTAGCAGATTGCAGCCCCAGCTTTGTCACTGGTTACCTGTGTAGGGTTTAGTTTTTCCTCTACAAACTGGGGATTCCTGGTCTGCAAATCTACTCGACTCCTGGGAAGATAAAATGAGGGTTTGGCAGCACCTGGGATGAGCAGGCAGCAACTACTGGGGTGACGAATGTGGCCTCTGCCCAGCTCCCCGGGCAGCCACCTGGCACTGAGCAGAAATCTTCACCCTCCAGTCAGAGCAGCAGTCAGAGCCACAGCCCCAGATTTGGGCTCTGATATTCACTCATTACGGATTCCAGGCCTGGGTGATGGGGAACAACAGGGGCTGATTTCCTATTCATTTCCATGTGGTAAGCGGCATTCCCAGGGCCTGACCTCATAAATGCATTTACAGTGAACACCAGCGACTCATTCTCGAGTCATAATTGAAATGAACATTCCCCAAGTTTTAGTGTTCTCCCACCATCACTGACTCAGGAGGAAGTCATCACCGACTCAGGAGGAAGTCATCACCGAAGCCAAAGGATCTCAAAGGCTTGGTCTCTCTCTGACGAGTCCATTTTTGATCCTATTCTGCTGCCCCTTTATGAGAACACACAACAATTCTACAGCTAAGCCCATGCCCAGGAGCACCCGGTGCTCTAATTCCAGCTTCTTAAGAACTGTACAGCACATCCACAGTACAAAGCTATGAGCAAGGAGTCTACTCCAGTGATCATCTTCAGAGACAGAATTCTTACAAAACTATTTTCTCCCTCTCTAAAAGTTGGTAAGTAAATTATAATAGCAAACGTTTGCTCATAAAAGACAGCCACACTTGCTGACTTACACACTCCAGGGATGTCTAGTCATTTCCTATAATTTGGAAGCCAATCTCTTTCACTCAAGTAAAGTTTCACTTTCCCCTAATGTTTCACAATAAAATGCCAAAGTAAAACAGGAAGAGAAAGAAAATGCTGAAGATGTGCTACAGCTTAATTTGACGGCCTGGTGATAGCCTTGTGGAGAGGGAGAACTCAGAGCGTGCTGTGTGCACACGAGCGTGCAGGAATTTAGTCATCGGACACGTGTTTACTGAGGTGCCGGCTGGTCAGGCTGTGTTAGGCTATCACATAAGACAGCCCTGGTTTTCAAAGAGCTAAAGATTGGCCAGCGAGCCCCAAGGTGACCAAGTGATTCCAGCACAGAGCCGCAGAAGCCCCTAGTTGGGTGTTTCCACAGGGCAGAGCACAGCATCAGCCCTTGTAGGTCATCTCAAAGAACATGCGAAAGGCAAGATGCTGGAAAAATAAATGTCGAAGGGGAGGGAGTAAATGGAAGAGAAAACAGCACATGCAAAGCCACAGGAGCAAGAGCACATGGCAGGCCTGGTGTTTTACAGAGAAGCTGAGACACGATTACATGGAGGACTCCAACAAGATGCAGGTTAGGACTTCGGAGAGTTTGTGGAAAAAGGCACAACACTGGCAGGGTTGGCACTTGGGGAACTGTGATGGGACCTAAATAATGCCATCGAGTGGTCCCTGAGCACTCTCCAGGTGCAAGCAGTGAGCTCAGTACTTTTCGAGGGAAGGAGAGACAGCTGCTATCTTGGTTTCTGATCAACCCTGTCCCCGCCCTACCCCCAAACTAAACCCTGTATATTTACTGCTTTGTATGCTGCTTACAACAGTGCCTGGCAGTGTTCTAGCAGGTGCTCATGGCATGTGGGACACGGGTAGATGGACAAGCAAACGGGATCCCCCAGAGTTAGGGGCCCATGCCCGCTGCGCTCACACTGCCCACACCGCACCACCACCCTGACGCCTTTGCGGGTCCTGTTTAGCCCCCTGTAATGGTCCCTCATCTCCACATAGCTCAGGGCTGGCCCAGGCCCTGCCATTTGTCTCCACCACTTCACTGCTCAGTCCCTGGTCCTTCGGTTTAAGTGCCATCCATTCACTGATTCGCCAACCTCAGATCTCCATCTCCAGCGCAGACTTTTCCCACGAAATCTAGACCCTCTTGCCAACACCCACCAAGCACCCCGCCTGGACATCTAATGGGCATCTCCACCTCCCTGTGTCCCTAAACCTGCTGTGTTCAGTCTTCATCCCAGTTGATGGCAGCTCCATTTACTCTTCCAGGTGTTGGCACTGCTCTCACCTTGGGTTAGTAAGCACTCTGTCTCCATAACAAATTCCTGAGGAAATCAACCACAAAGGGGAAAGGCTATTATGGCTCACGGTTTCAGAGGTTTCGCCCCATGCTCACTTGGCCCTGCTGTCATGGTCAGTGGAGGCACAGCCCATCATGGTGGCTACTGGAGGAGGCTACCTCATGGCAGACAAGCATGAGAGAGAGAACAGGGGCTGGGGTCCTACACAGCCTTCTAGGGTGTGTTCCCAATGACCTAACTTCCACTAGGCTCCCCCAACTGAAGCTTCCATCCCCTCCGCCAGCACCACAGGCTGGTGACCAAGCTTTCAGCACAAGGGTCTTTGTGGGACACTTCAAAGCCATAGCAGGGTTTCCCCTCACAGCCTTTATCCACTTCCCAGCAATTCCCATAAGCTCATCTTCCAAGTATTCCCAGAATCCACCTTGGCGCCACCTCTGCCACGGCCACCTAGTCTGGTCCAACTTCATTTCGCCCAGATCACTGTGAAAGGCCCTTGCTGGTCTCCCTGCTTCCTCCCTGCCCGAGTGAAGAGGCTGAGGCTTCGATGAGACCACTCCAGTGCTGGAGCTCCTACGTGAGTGCCCGTCTCAGAGTCGGCACCAAGTCCTCACAGCAGCTTAGGCAGCTGCGCCCACTGCTCCTGCTCGAGTCCGCATGTGCACCAGTCCCGGATGTGTTCAGCGTGCACTCCAGCACATCTCAGGTCCTCCCCTGCATGTCCACTGCCCGAGCACCACAGGTCTCCTTACTCACTTTCTGTCCATCTCCGAGCCCAGCCTGACAGTAAAAAAGGACTCCGTTTTGCTAACTCCTACATCCCGATGCCTCACCGATGCCAGGTACCTGGTAGATCTCAATAAGCATTTACTGAATGTGTAAGAGAAAAATATGAGTGAATGCGCAAATGAATTTTCTCTTTACAGGTTCTCTCCATGCCAGCCATACCAGGCAGCAGCCATCACACAAACCGAGGAGACACGCAGAAAATTTTGACCAAATTTACACATAGCTGATGAAGCACAGACAGAAAGGCTGATGGACTTAGCTTGAATCTTCTACCCCAGTCTTCTAATCAACAGATAAAATAAAAGCAAGGAGCTGAAAGAACCCAAAAATGTTTCTCCAAAAATTCTAGGCATTTTATTTTTTAAAATTCATGTTTTAAAATGTATTCCAAGGCAAAAAAAAAAAAATCATGTAAGTTATAAATGCAAGTTTTCAAAACATACAAGACACAATGTAAAAACATTTTACATATACAACGCCCAATGTAATTTCTCATATTAAAAAAACAACAGAGAAAATGCTTAATAATGTTCATCTGCCAGCTACAAAGCAAAATCCTCCTCTTGACCAGTTCTGGGAGCTGCAATGAAAGTTGCAGGTGTCTCCTCTTTCTTCATTTCACCTCATCTTTCTTCCCATTTTTCTTTTGAGTTCTTTTTTAAGACAAAGGGTAATCAAGACTTTGTAAAAGGGTAGTATTTGTTGTTATACTCAACAGTCAAGTGGCTTTTAATTCTAAAAGTCACTTTTATATTCTGGGCAATACACTAAATACCTAAATAGTATATGAAAATCAAGTTGTGATTTGAATATTCTAAGGAAAATATACAAAATTTCTTTGTATAAAATTAAGATTCCACTTATTGTATTTGCTTAAATGACAGTAAGTTTATAAACCAATTCCTCAACCCATCATAAACAAAGATTCCTTAATAATGTAAAAGATTTTATTCACTGTATTGACAGTTGCTGCTAATGCTACAATCTGAAATACATTTGAGTGGTCTATTCTCCCCTACCAACACTGCATGTTCTGATATGCACCAACAATAGAAACGGGTACATTATTTACTTTTTTTTTTTTTGGTACTGGGGATCGAACTCAGATCCTTGCGCTTATGCAGCAGCAGCAAAACCAATGAGCTAAATCCCCAGCCCGCTTATTTACTATTAATACTAATACTCATTTATTAGTTCCAGTTGCAGAAACAAAACTTTGAAATTTGATTATAATTATATTACACCACATCTACTATCTCCACTGTCCTTAATAATATATTTCAGAGAAAATGTTCAGATTTGTGTTTCCTAATCAAGAGGTAAGAAAATAGCGAGTTACTGATGCTTGTGAGCCATGACTGTACTCCAGCTACTCTGGAGGCTGAGGAGGCAGGGGACTCACTTGAGCCCAGGAGTTCAAGGCCAGTCTGGGCAACATAGCAAGAACCCTGTCTCCATAAAAAACTAGCTTTCCTTGGTGGGCAGAGAGGGAAGTAAAAAGCAGTGAATGAGGGAAGAGAGTGAAGGGAGGGAGGGGAGAGGAGGAGTGAGGGAAGAAGACAGGTAGGTTGGAAGGTGAAAGTGGACATCTTCCACTGAAACTGCATAGAAAATCACAGATAATTCTCTTGTAATTCACTAATTCACTAAGAGAATAGCACTGACAATACCATCCACCTGAAAGTAAATGGAATTAGAAAAAACTCATGTTTGACTATTTCACAATTTTTAGAAAAGTATTATTAAAACATGATTAAAATTGGCCCTTCCTCAATTATTGATTTACTAATATATAACCATGCAGCAACTGCTTTAAAGAGAAAACAGTGAGGATTACAACAGGTCAAATTCAGTCAAGTCAGAAGTAAAAAGTCAGAGCAGGCCAGTGCCCGACCCGAATACTGATGACTCTGTCCAGTTAGGGCAGTGGCTGCCACCAGCAGCAATGAAGAAGAGGCCGACCCATGAAACCTAATACCACAGAAGTTTTGCTTCATGACCTGCTGAAACCCAACCCTCACTCATTCGGTTCACTAAAGGAAACGCTGCAGACTGTACACACAGACGCAACATTTTTTAAAGCAAACATGAAGAGTGCAAATAGCTCAAGACTGTATTTGGGAGAACGACACCCCTGGGGTGAGTGTGGTTCAGAGCAGAGCCACAGTGACCCTGAAGCACAGCCTGCATAACCACAGTGTTAAAGTACAGGCTTCCTTCAAAATATCCTCGTTAATTCTGTCAAGCAATCTGAATGCACCAAGAGAATTTTACCGACAGTATAACAAGTATGACAAGGTACATATTTACATTTTCATCTGCATCTTAAGGACAAATTATTAATGATGATGATTATGAAAAATAAGATTAAAGGGAGGTTCATTTGGGGAAAAGCTACATCATTATCATTGATCCAACCACAAATGCTTTTGTAACAAATGCAATACTACAAAACAATTCACAGCTTTAAAAAAGAGTTGGTAAGAATTTCACTGTAATTTTTTGTCCAAATTCAAAATTAAGAGTTCAACTTACATTCATGCTTAACCCCTTTACTCTAAAATCTGTAAAATATATAAAATACCAAGGTTATCAACAGTCACGTAGGTTTTGAAGTCCTGGCACACGTGTACTCTCCTCAGATTGGTCCCACTGGTGTAGAAGGTCTGCGCAGACTCCCCAGTGACCACGTTCCACCACTGCTCAGAGAAAAGTGAGAAGCCCGTTAGGCGGCAGCTACACCGTGAGGCAGCCAGGCCCTCCGCCCAGCAGACCCCACTCCTCCACGCGCGTGGACGAGGACTGGTTCCTCACAGAGGTGAGGCCGCTCTAAATGGGCCGGAGGACGGCATGCTCTCTCTACTGAACCTTCACTTTTGCCATAAGTGGTTCACGACCCCAGGGTCGTCCCCAGGTTCCCTCTCCATCATGGTTCCGGTAGAAGTGTCCCCTGGGGGCTTCGGCCACCGAAGTGCAGTGGACACACAACCCTGGGCCTTCCAGAACTGCCAAGGCTGCTCTGGAGAAAACTAATGTACTCCCGAGTGCGAGACTCATTCTCCCTGGAGAAGATGCACTGGCGCCCAGGGACCATGGCTGTTAGACCTCAGCTCCCAGTCCCACGCCTCACTGTACAATTAAGGAAACTGAGGTTCCCAGAGGGGAAATGGAGCCCAGGATCCAGATGACACTGCTGCCGGGCAGCAGAGGTACAACAGTTTCTGCCTTCCAAATCCAGTGCCTCTCCTTTCCTTCCTGCTATAAAAACAGACCACTCTACCTGGGAACTCTACACCAGCCCCGGTTTAATAAGGGCTTAAAAAACAACAAGAAGCTGATCTGGAGGATGTCCAGGGCAGAACCTAGGAGCATGATGCCGCAACGGTAAATCCGAGTCCTTAGTGATTCAGCCCAGCCCACAGAACTTAGACCACCAAGGAGGAAGCCTGACATAGACTCTGGGCCCTGGGCGCTAACCGTGTGTTCCCAGCCGGTCCAGCAGCTGTAACACATATCCGTCTCTGGTGGGGAGGATAGTGGAGCGAGCTGTGTGGGTGTGGGTGTGAGGGTTTGCAGGAAATCTCTGTGATGAGCTAGTCTTGTTGCTACTGTCCATTTTACAGATGAGAAAACTGAGGCATGGAGAGCTGCAGAAATCCACGCAGGCCACAAAGCCAATGAGGGCAGAGCCAACTTTGAACTCGGTCTGTCCCGAAGTCCAGGCCACGGCTGTCTCTAAGTCACGGCCGCCTTCATGCATTGCCACATTTCAAATCAGCCTTTGCCTTTGGCTGTAGGAATCAACTGAACTTGTCATTGTATCAGTACACACTGTGGGCCAAACTCATGGAAAGGCTAAGTTATATTATTTTATACTCAATAGGAATAATTTTGAAAGTTAAGAACTTTTTAGCTATTTGATACCTACTTTACCTTACAGGCAATACAGCTTGGATTCAAAAGTAAACAGACTCAAAGAAGCCTAATTCCTTGGCCACTACAGCAGCTGTTCCTCCTTACTTTTAATTTGCTCTGCACTTTTGGAGAGTCTCTCTAACATTCTGGGTAGATGCAGGCTGGGCTAAAACATAATTAGTTTAACCATGCTGGTAATCAAACCAGAAGGCTAAAGCAGCCTGATCATCACTGAAATCCACTGACTAAACATGCAGGCTGGCCATCCCTTCTTTCAGCCGTAAGACATAACCTTCCACGGCTTCATTTTAAGAGTCTCCTAGATCTCTGCCAATCTGGTCACTGATCTTTATACGATCTTAGAATCTGGACTCACGGTTCTGAGACAGCATTCTAGGGGCCCGGGGAACCAGTGACATGGTGTCTAGGAGCTTGGTGTCAAAGCTGAGCAGTTAGGTTTTCCAGCAGCTCCTACAGCTAAGGACTTAGTGCCCAACACAGACAGCAAGGTCTCTCCTCTCAGCCACATCCACAGAGCCAGCAGAGGCACATAGGGTTTATCTTTACATTAAGGGAGGACAAGTGGCGGCCATGGCTCAGGGGCCTAATGACTGAGTAAAGGTGTGTGACACTGACAGAACTGTATTTCCAAAGCAAAATGTAAAGGAATCATAACATATATCCTTTCATAAAGCTACAAATTCCCCCATCCACCTTTTTTATAAACCCGATTTTTGTGTTGAGTAAAACTATAATTACATAGGTCCCTAAAACCAAAAACTTCATTCAAGTACTCTGAAAAGCTACATACTGTGTTGGCCAATTCATCAGAATCATCCACACTTCACTGTTTTCAGTAAGAGACAGCAGTATCAGAGAGGCCCTAATTTAAACAAAAGAGCTGGCAGAATGTGCAAGTGGTCAGTGTGACGTGAATATCATCTTTATCTCCTCTACCAGCGAATGGCTACCAGGACTCAACACAGGGTCCCTCCCTCTCCATGCGAACCTCCGCTGACTCTCAGCTGCAGGTCTGTCCTCTCCTCTCCTCTGCACCTCCATGTCCCTGCACAAGCGTGTCCCTGACCCTCCCATGCTTTAGCTGCTTTATTTACATCTTCTTCCCCGAGGGAAGGAACGAGGCTGGAACCCTGAGCTGTGTCTCAGCTGTGTCTCTGAACAGAGGGCTCTGAACACATCTCACTGACAGCTGAAGATGAAGATGCAGCACAAAACAGGCCCCGAAGCCCCACAGCCCCCAGCCTTGGCCTCTGAGGCACTGGTTAAGTCTGCAGAAGCCAACTTGCTGGGGAAAACTGAGGCCCCAGGATTCGGTGTGACTCCTGGCCCTCCTGCTTACTAACGGTGTGATTTTAGGAAAGTCACAACCTTCATGAAAATCAGTTTGCTCATTTGTAACCCAAAGATAGTAAAATTTAAGGCTAGTGAAGTAAAGCATGTTATAAACTATAAAACAATATGCTGCTGCCATTATCATTAAAGAAAGGAATTTTATAAATACATTTGTAAAAGAATTTCAATGACAATATTCAAGAGCGAGTGACATGGGAAATAAGCTGAACACCCCACACACTGGTCACTGGGGCCATCGAGGTTGGGTGTGGGGCGGCAGGAGCACAGAGGACCGAGAACGTCCCACACCCCATCACCAAAGCTCCCAGGCGACCTGGGCCTCGCAGACCGTGGTGTCACCGCTGCTAAACAGGCCAAGTGGCAGTGGCCCTTTCACTGCGCTGGGCTGGAGGAAGCCCGCTGAGAAAGAGGAGTGAGGACAGCATGGAAAGTATGGCACAGGCCTGGCTCTCCTTCCAGCCCTTGAGAGCTCTTACCTTAAGGTATGCCCCAGCAGAGACAAGCATTTTGCTGTCTGGAGAAAAGCAAAGGTCAGTTACCCAGCCTCTGTGGGTAGCAGCTCCTTCCTCTACTGCAATCGGAGCACACAAATGAAGAAGCTCCCCATTTGAGACGTTCCACATCTGTGTGAACACGATACACAATCCATTAACAGGATTACTAAGAAGCTTCTCTAATTTTAAACCACACACATGTATTGTCTGGGACATACTTGGAAATGCTGCTTTTTAAAAAAAAGTATAAGAGGTGCATTCCTGTGATCCCAGCACTCGTGAGGCTGAGGCAGGAGTATCACCACAAGTTCACAGACAGCCTGATCTCCACAGTGAGTTCACGGACAGCCTGATCTCCAAAGTGAGTTCACGGGCAGCCTGATCTCCACAGCAAGACATATCTCAAAACAAAACAAGGGCCAGGGATGTAGCTCAGGGGTGCCACACCTGCCTTGCAAGTGTAAGGTCCTGAGTTCCATCCCCAGAATGGAAAAAAAAATATTAAAAAAGCATTAGAGTGACTGATTTTAATACTGATTTAACCCCCTTAATTAAAAGAGGGGCTTAAGGACCACTAAGTACTTGGGGCATAGGGCTCCAGTGTGGGGGTGGGGTTCCGGTCAGAGAAGAATGGAGTCCCAGGGCCTGCCCACCTAAGACCCCTGCTTGTGTTCCCATAGCCCTGGCAGAGATCCTAAGTGTGAAGGACGTCAATGGCCGGAAGCTTTTCTATGTCCATTACATTGACTTCAATAAACGTCTGGATGAATGGGTGACCCACGAGAGGCTGGACCTAAAGAAGATCCAGTTCCCCAAGAAAGAGGCCAAGACCCCCACCAAGAACGGACTTCCGGGTTCCCGGCCTGGCTCTCCAGAGAGAGAGGTGAAACGGAAGGTGGAGGTGGTTTCACCAGCAACTCCAGTGCCCAGCGAGACAGCCCCAGCTTCCGTTTTTCCTCAGAATGGATCAGCCCGTAGGGCAGTGACAGCTCAGCCAGGACGGAAATGAAAATCAAATTGCCTGGGCACTGATGAGGATTCCCAGGACAGCTCAGATGGAATACCATCAGCACCGCGCATGACTGGCAGCTCAGTATCTGACAGGAGTCACGACGACATTGTCACCTGGATGAAGAACATTGAATGCATCGAGCTGGGCAGGCATCGCCTCAAGCCGTGGTACTTCTCCCCATACCCACAGGAGCTCACCACACTGCCCGTCCTCTACCTATGTGAGTTCTGCCTCAAGTATGGCCGTAGCCTGAAGTGTCTGCAGCATCACCTGACCAAGTGTGACCTGCGGCACCCACCAGGCAATGAGATTTACCGTAAGGGCACCATCTCATTCTTTGAGATCGATGGATGGAAGAAGAAGAGTTACTCCCAGAATCTGTGTCTTTTGGCCAAGTGTTTCCTCGACCACAAGACCTTGTACTATGATACAGACCCCTTCCTCTTCTGTGTCATGACGGAATATGACTGCTAGGGCTTCCACATTGTGGGCTACTCCTCCAAGGAAAAGGAGTCCACAGAAGACTACAACGTGGCCTGCATCCTGACGCTGCCTCCCTACCAGCGCCGGGGCTATGTCAAGCTGCTCATTGAGTTCAGTGAGTATGTGCTGCCCGGCCAGGTGCTGGTGGACTGGCAGACCCAGGCCACCCATCAGCACCCCACACATAGGTCACTAGGGGAGCCAGCTGGTAATACAGGCTATGAACTCTCCAAGGTGGAAGGGAAGACAGGGACCCCTGAGAAGCCCCTCTCGGATCTTGGACTCCTATCCTATAGAAGTTACTGGTCCCAGACCATCCTGGAGATTCTGATGGGGCTGAAGTCAGAGAGTGGAGAGAGGCCACAGATCACTATCAACGAGATCAGTGAAATTACCAGTATCAAGAAAGAGGATGTCATCTCCACCCTGCAGTACCTCAACCTCATCAACTACTACAAGGGCCAGTACATCCTCACTCTGTCAGAGGACATTGTGGATGGGCATGAGCAGGCTATGCTCAAGCGACTCCTTCGAATTGACTCCAAGTGTCTGCACTTCACTCCCAAGGACTGGAGCAAGAGAGGAAAGTGGTGACCAGGCACTGCCCATTGCAGCGGCATGAGCCAGCAGAACTGGGGCTGTCAGCCTGCTCCACCTCCACCTTGGGGCTCCCAGGAGACACACCAAGGGAGACAGGGCTGAGGACAGCTCCCAGAGGAGGGGAACAGCCAGGGAAGGGTCAGCACTAAGACGAGCTCAGGGTTCAGGCCAGCTCCACGGTCAGCTGCCTACAAGCCCAGGCTCACTCTGAACCAGGGACTGAGCGAGCCAGGCAGCTGTGTACAATGAGATGAGGGATGGGGTGCTCTGTACAGAAGGCTGGTGACTGTAAAAATTTCTTTTATAAAGTAAAAGCTGGGGGTAGGGTAGAAAAAAAAAAAAAAAGAGGGGCTTAAGGTATAGTTCAGTGGTAGACTGTGAGCTTAGCATCTGCGAGGTCCTGGGTTCAATCCCCAGCACAAGGAAGGGGAAAACATAACAAAGGGAAGAACAAGGAATAACAATAACAGTAAGAGGCCATATAAACTACCTCAAATGAAATAAAATGACGAAGAAGTCAGTCCAAAAACCAACACCAAAAATGTTGACAAATGTAAACATCTAAAGAATGTAAGTCCCTGTAAAGTTCTAAATATATATATTCTACAATTATTTTACTAGACTATTAACCCAATCACTTATAGATGCTAATATGTTCATTGATTCCAGTGACACTTAATATATAAGCAGTGAAATGCACAAGAGAATAAGAAAAAGAAATAGAGGCATACATAGCAAAAGAAAATAATTAAATTCATCATCTGCAAATGTCTCCCTAGAAAGCCAAGAGGAACAAATGAGAAAACTCAGAAAGAAACTCAGTAAGGCAGCTAGATATAACATATATATACAAAACCCAACAGCTTTCTGACAATCTAAATAATCAGCTAGAAAACATTTTCTTTAAAAAATGCACCAAGGAAAAACTCTGAGAGAGACTTCTTTTTCCAATGAGGGATTCTGAAAGTGGCATACTATCTCATAACTGTAAAGGAGCCCTTTCATCCCAAGATGAGAGCCTGGAGCAAAATGAGCATCCTCACAGTGTCTCTGCCGCTCCAGCCATCACAGCATTTGTGTGAAGGGGAGAGTAAAGATCAGTTCTTCAGTACTTAAGCAGGAGAAGCTTCCTTTTCCTACCCAGCCCTTCCGATTACACCCCATTCCCACAAAATCCACACTCTCCTACTCCTCTGCGTTACATACCTACTCTTTGAGCTTTAAATCTTCCTTGTTAAAGAAATAAAACAAAGCAAAAAAGGAAAAAAAAAAAACCTTCTTAGTATCTATGTAACTGTTCTAACACCACCAAGCCAGCTGGTCGCTTTTCCATGATTTCTGATCTTGCAGCATGCAATGCTTTCCATGTTGTACAATATTTCCACAGGCAGGCAGAGAACAGCATTCCATGCCTTCCAGAAAGATCGTCTGCTAAATAAAACTGGCACCAAGGCCGGGGATTTACCTCAGTGGTTCCGCCGCCTGCCTTGCAAGCACAAGGTCCTAAGTTCAATCCCCGGTACTAAAAAAATTTTTTTAAATAAATCAAAATAAAACTGGCACCATTTGTATGTATATTCTCAGCACTGCAAGGAGACAAAAACGGGCCAACTGTGCAGACTACTTCATTAAAGGGCCCTTCGATCCCACCCAGCCATGGAGATGTTTCACTAACATGACAGACAGTTCAAAGAAGACTGTGACAGACTACACTGCGAGTGTGGACTAGGGGTAGAGTGTGAAGGGATCCTTTCTGTAAGCAATGAAAACAGCAGAATCTGCAATTCATTTATAATTCAGACAATGATTTACAGAATTACTTTCTTCAAATTCTTCCACTAAAAACAACTTTGGGTTTGAGTCCAAAAATTAGGATGAATCATTCTCAAACTAACAGCAGAGAACCAACTGCAAATAAGGAGGGAATGTGCATCCTCAGTTATGTAGGAAATGCTTGGTCTAACTCTGAAATGAATCCCCTCCCACAGTAGAGGTCAGCTGTGAATCAACATGCACAAGAAGGGAGACACCGTACCACCCCGACTCCCAGGGCCTCTGCTTCCCTGTTCCATGAACAGAGCTCCCAGCCTGGTGTTGAGGTGCTCTTGGGTCACTGACACCCTACCCTGACTTCTCCATTGTCATCTCCAGTTGCCAGCAGTGAACCGTCCTCAGAGAAGGCAGAGCAGCGCACACAGCTGTTGTGGCCCTTCAATTCATGAAGAGGGGAAGGGAGCTCAAAACTCCAAATCTGGAAGGCAAGGAAGACTGTTCAGGATTGGTGACCACACTCCAGATAAGCACCTGCCAACCCTGCCTGGAGTGCTGCTGGCCACAGTCACAGGAAAGTCCTAACACCCGGCACTGCATAAACTTTCACCAGCTGCCCAAGCTCCAGCGTGCACCCTTGTTCATTTGTCTGAGTTTCCCTTTAATTACTCAAGTTAAACCCAACTCAAAGGCCAAGTCACAGCTCATATTCAGCTTAGATGCCAGATCCTGAAACCAGTTAACAATCCCCAAAGTGAGGCACATGTGAGTGCGAGTCCTTACTCCACCCCTCACCAGTTCCGGGTGACCTAGGAACCCATGTTCGCATAAGGTTCTCCAGCTTGGATTTCTGCATCTGTGAAATGGGGACAATGGCACCTATGGCGTGAAGATAAAATGAGAGTAGAGGGAGTGCGTTCGCAGCACAGGGCCTACACGGCAAGAGCTTCTAAAGGTCAGCCACTACGCAGTCCCAAACCATGAGACAGGTACACAGTTCCTAAATCTTGCTGTTTTAGGTACGATTTGGACTCATAATATGTACTCAGTGCTAAAGTTTTATGTGTGAACATTCAAACCTATTACCCTACCTTTGCAGTCTTATCAGCAGAGGTAGATGAAAACTTGGTAGCATCAGGAGAAATATTACAAGAAAGTACTGTGCCCTGGTGACAGAAAAAGTCTTTTTCTATTCTTCCAGTAATAATATTCCATACCTTTAAAAAAAAAAAACTAGAAGTTGACACAGAAACATCTTGTATTAGGAAGCATGATTAGCCACAAGACCAATCTATAAAACAAGAGTTCAGTACACTGGCTGTTCTGACCTCTTTACATATCTATTAATAAAAATGCTGGCATAGAGCAGAAATAGGTAACCACAGTGAACAGAACCAGATATAATAAAAATTTTAATTTTAATTACTTAACACACAAATGCTTTTGCGAGCCATACAATCACTGAAATATCAGAATACTTTTTTTAAAAAGCCTGAGATCTAAATTACCTTCACTGTTCCATCAAATGACCAAGAAAGCAATCTTGAATTTTCTAGAAGCCTGAAGTCTGTCACTGTTTCCTGATGGGCCTGGAGAAGGACATACTCCTCTGACTGCCAATTCCACACCTGAACATGAGAGAAAGAAGTCTGTGACTGCCCTCTATTAGCATCCCAGGAGCGAAGAGGGAGGGGTGCACTCTACCTGCAGTCTTCTACCTTACAGCATTTCAAACAAAAGAGTAACAAGGAATACGGTACCCATATTTTATGAGAAAAGCTGGGGTTAATTAACTTGACTAGGGACAAAATAAAATACTTTTCCTCCTAAATAAAATTTGTTTTCATCAGTTGCTGGAGAACAGTTAATTAAACCAGAAGATAGAAAAAGCCACAATATGTCAGTTGGCTCACCATCTGATTACATTTTCCAGAGAAAATTATCCCAATTTCTGAACCTATAAGCTAGGCAAGACTGCAGATTTTGGTGCCACTAAAGCTGGCCTTGCTGCCCTGGAAGCTCAGCTGACCAAAGAGCTTTAAATCAGGTCATGGATTTCCAAGCTTCAGAGGTCTTAGCTATCTCTAAGGCAGTGGTGGCAAACCTAAGGCACGCACAGCCGGCAGTTCCTGTCTGTTATAACTGAGCACTCTAAAAGGTTTTCCATCACTGCTCTGAGGCGAGCTCCAAATGACAAAAGGAGGAATAGGGCGTTATTTTTCACACAGAGCTTCAGGAGTAAGTCCTCTGACACAAAGGGAGAAAAAGGAATGGAAATAATGACAGTAGCCAGCACAAAATAGGCACCCAGCACATGGGAGGCACAGCAGTGAATACTCATATGTGGAACATCCTTTCTTTTGGTACCAGGGATGGAACTCAGGTTCTTGCGCTTGCACAGCAGGCGGCGAAACCACTGAGCTAAATCCCCAGCCTGGAACATCCTTTCTTGCTAAATCGAAGCAACTGTATTTACAGCCTTGTTAATTCTTGACTTCAAATTAATTTATATGGCAAATGTTTGTTTAGCACTTACACGTGAGGCAAATGTGACTAAAACAAGGTTCTACCATAAAACTAAAAGTCTAGAAAACAAAATGAAACATACAAAAAAAAATCCTACAGAGAAGCTACTAATGACGGAGATGTAAGTTCTGTGGAACTCAAGCAATTCCTGACTGAAGATTTGGTGAAAACCAGTGCATCAAAGGTGGGCTAGAGGAGCAGACTAGAGTATGATTCACAAACTAAGGGCTACATCCCCAACCCTTTCCTGAGACATGGCTGGGTTCAAATTTGCAATCCTCCTGCCTCAGCTTCCCAGAGAGCTAGGATTATGGAAAGGTGCCACCACGCCCAGCTTGAGAGAGGTTTTCAAACACAAAGAATGTCAGCAGCATCTAAGCACAGAAAAAGAACTGTGTGAAGCAATTACAGGGACCTCCTCATGGATCAATATGGCTACAACCCCACACGCAGAAGAAACAGTAGAGAAAAAGGCTGGGGAGGGAGGTGCCAAAGAAACAGCCAGAGGGCCCAGTGAAGGTGTGGCCAATCGGGCAGACTCCAAAAGAAGGAAAACCAAAGAAAAATCAGGCACCAGCACAGGTATGCACATTAGTAACACTCAGGTCTAGTTTTTGAATGGCAAAGGTTAAACAGTGTAAGTATCGTGAAGCCTTTTCCCATCAGGCTGAAGCAAAACTGCTAAAAAAAAAAAAATCCATCTCTTCTTTTCCCTTCCTTGTTCCTCTCTCCACCACATTAGACAGCTTCCTCTCCCTAAGCCCTGGCTTTCAGATCTCTGCCTAGCCTCCAGCCCAGGGTACTTGTTCACAAAACGAGGATTATAAGGGGCAGGCATTGTGTGCATAAACGAGGGGACTCTAGAAGAGGAACTGGAAATGAGAGTATTTTTTAACAAGAATGAATAGAAACCAGTATTTTAAGGGCCCCATGAGATATTGTAGGGGCAAAAGGGGGGATAGGCTTTCTTGGCTCCTCAAATCATACAAAAGGAGGGGCTGCTAGTGACTAAGCACAAAACACCACAGACCATTTCCACCAGGGGTTCCTGGCTCCCCCTCCCCCTTCCTAAAGGATCAGCAGCCACTCCGGTGGCCCTTCCTGGGAGACAGACACTGACAGTCCCAGCCAGCCACGTCCATTCACGACTGAGGCCCTTCCTGCCGCCCCCATGTCAAGCAGCCAGGACGCCCTCCTGCACAGCTGTAACAGAAAGTCTGATGATTGCTAAGGGCAGACTAAGAACACCTTTGCTTTTGTGCAGCAGCTTTCTGACAAGGCAATGATGCTTTTAGGCTGAACTCAAACACACTGTTTTAACTGAATCACCTTGATATAACAGCTAAACTTCCACCAACATTAGTCGAATGCATTAGAGTTGAGTTTTGCAATGTCGGCCATTAGCTATAAATTTTCTAAGTACATACCCAGAACTTTTTATTTTTGTCTTATTAGTAAACAGAACCCAGGAGCACTCTACCACTGAGCTTCTATTTGTACTTTTTTGAGTCAGGGTCTTGCTAAGTTGCCCTGGCTGGTCTTGAACTTGGAATTACTCTGCATCCCCCTCCCAAGTAGCTGGGATTACAGGCATACGTCACCACCCCAGCTAAAGAAATTTCTTTTACTTGCAAGAACCAATATATTCTTATACTGCAAGTATAAGACTTCAATTATAGCACACAGGAATTGAGTCCAATTCATCAGGTGAGTTTTTTCTCCAAATTTTGGCAATAACTTCAGCTTGACAGAGACTTACTCAATCTCTATTACAATCCAGGCATGGGGGTACAAAATGATTAAGACAAATCTCCATTATTCAGTCATTTACAAAATCATTAAAAATTAAATAAGGAACCAGCCATTTCTTGGAAATACATACCCAGAGTTTTGTTACATGAATGTATACTCATTAAAACATTGGAAATGTAAAAAGTATTCTGAACAGAACAGAAAAAGAAGATGAAACACAACTTGTATTTCTAAATATAATCTAACTCTTTCTAAAAATATTTCTAGAAATTATTTCTCCCTCTGGCTAAGAATATCTGAAATCTTCAAGCAGGTCATAAAACCTTAAAAATTTAACTTCTGATAAGAAAGGCTGTATTGCACACAACGTCTCAACAGAATTTCATCAGATCCAGTTGAGTTTTACCCATTTCAAAGACATCTGGAGAGGAAGAAATGTGATGATTACACCGAGATCACAGCTAATAAAGGAGCATCACAGGAGCCTACAATAAAAATGTCTCTGTACTGAAGGCAAATTTCATTCCAATCCTACACCTTCATAGAACTCACAAAGCTATAACATAAAGGGATCAATTTTTTCCAAAACAGTTTTGAACAGTACAGTTAAATATTGCCACCGTAAGAAATTTACACACAAAATAAAATAATACAGTAACTGCCACTGAACATATGCATTTATCTCCTTCATTCCTAAAACCCTACTGGCATGGCATGGTCAAGAGAATGGGAGAGGAGACAACAAAATATTGAAGGCTGAAAAGCAGAATGGTAACTGACTGCAGACCCAAGAAAACAAATCCCCAAAGCATCAGAAAACAGAAAGCAACAAAGCTGACACTATGAACTCCCCAAATGCTCAGAAATTGGAGGCACTAAGTACATCCAAAGGCAGGGGTGAGGGTGGGCTGAGAACAGGAGTGTAAGGATTCTGGGGAGGTGGCAAAGGATCAGGCAGAGTTTTCAGGTCTCCCTGAAGCCCTCCATTAAAAGTAGACAAAGCAACTAGGACAATAAAAAAATGTACAGACATCTGTGTAAAGTCATTAACAATAGCCTATTAGGTGACACTCTCCCCACAAACCCCTAATACATGTGGATGGGGACAAACCGAGAGCTGTGTGACCTTCACGGTAATACCATCTACCTAGGAAGACTGAGAGGATCCCAAAATAGCCCAGTGCCAGCGACTGGGAGATGCACTGCACCAACTAGAGAAGAGCAGTGGAAGCTGAGTGTGGAGGGACCGTGTGGACCTGGATAGGTGAGAGCAGCCCATTCCTGCAGCGACTCAGAACTCACAAGGACGAACCTCCACTGGGGAGAAACCACTGGCACAGGATCCAGCTAAGCGGGATGAGGCTGACAGTGACAGCAGACAGACAAGGTCCAAAAAAAACGAGGGACAAGGAAGTGCAAGGAGATCACCTAAGACCAAGGACATATTTTTATACTTCATAAGAATAAGAGAAGTTGCTTCAGAGCTGTGAAGCTACAAATGCTGGGCTTTCCACTCCTCCAGAGTTCAGGAAAACGCTTATTTTTTGAAACTATTAAAAAAAAAAAATCACTGTTGAATTCCAAAGTTACTATGAAAAAGAAAAGGAATTAATTGCACAATAATGTTCCCACAGACAACCAAGTGAAATTAAAATCTTGGATTATAGGGCTCAGCATATTTGGAGTTTTGAGAACAGGGAACAGGTGAACATAGAAATTTAGTTCTCTTGCCACCTCTACCCTGCTAATCCTGAGACAAGATTACCTGCCAGGCAGGAGACCAGAAGATTCCCAAAGAGTCTGAGGGCAAACCTTTCAGAGTATCTCAGTCAGTGCACAGTTTCTAGTCAGCCTTCTCACACCCATCTCGGGCAGCCAATGAGCTGGCCATGGCTGGGGAGGGCTTTGAAACAAGAGGCCAAGGCAGCCAAAAAGGGAACAACATGAATGGAGAAAGGGGGCATGTGGGTATAAATTACATAATTATAGATATTACATAACCTATATTTGTATTTGTGTGTAAATATACATATTTTATATATATTTTGTATGTCTGTACATGTGGGTAACATGTCTCCTCAGAGAGGTAAGAAAAGATATTCTATCTACAAAACAAAAATATAATGCTCTTCAAAAGGAATAAACAATATGAATGGGCTCATGGGCATTAAAAATATAACGGTATAAATGAAAAACTCAGTAAAATGGTTGGAGGGTTAAACTGAGAAAACTCCCAGGAAATAGAAGACAACATAAAAAGCTGAAATGTAGAAAAAGAAAGCGGGATGATCAGTCCAAGAATGGACACTGAATAAGGAGTGTTACTGAAAGAGAAAGCAGACTGAACCAAAAATAACTCAAAGAACTAAAGTAAACTTTCCCAAATTGAAAACACTGTTTCCAATTAAGAAGAGACACACAAACACACAAAAAAGAAGAGACACAAAATGTACAAAATGATGGATGAAAACAACTAACCAAGGCACAAGATCACAAAATTTCAAATTCTAGAGACAAAGAGAAGATCTTAAAAGCTTCCAGAGAAAAAGATGAGAAAGCAGAATGGACACAGGCATGGTGGCATACATCTGTACTTCTAGCTCTTGGGAGGCTGAGAGAGGAAGATGGTATGAAGTTCAAGGCCAGCCTGACCTACACAGTGAGACTCTGTATTAAAAAGAAAAAGCAGAACAGATTCAGACTTTGCAACGGGAAGAAAATGAAGCAGTATCTTCAACATTTTAAGGTAAAATAATTTTCGTTAAAAATTTTTTTTCTTAGTTTATGTTTGGAGTACATAATAATTATACTCATTATGAGGAGTTCGTACATGTACATAAGACATCTTAATTCTAGGGTAAAATAATTTCCAACTACATCTAGCCAAAGGTTGAATTTTTTCTAAACTGCATAAAGCAGGAAATGCATTCATAGTACCTTAGTACACAAAATTGACTTAATCGTCAAAATTGACTAAGTGATATTAAGAGTCAAAACAAAATTTTGTCATAATTGTATTAGGGTGGTGGGGATGGGCAAATGGTATATAGCATGTGTGCAACCAAACATGTTGTAGGCGTGAAAGGTGGGAGCAGGAAGAAAGCTAAACCCTCACCTCACTAGTGGGAATTCAGTAGGTAATCGGAAAAATCAAGAATAACACTATAAACATGTCATGTGGAGGAATGAAGGCAAATACGTGGTGTTTCCAAAGAAGGACAAATGAGAAAGAGGTCTATTTTTCATAATAAGCCTTGTAATTTTGAGTTTTGAAAGTATGTGTAGTAGAACTTCAATAAAATCAAGGAAATTTAAAAGAAATACATAGTGAGCTTAAGGCCTCCATATGCATAATCCTTCATTATGGCAAACCTATTCTTGTTTTCAGAGAATTTTACCCCTGTAATAAATGTTATTCTTAAAAGAATGAAATTATTTTAATTGGATTTTACTAATGTAAAGAAAAAATAGAAAGCATATAAATGTGGCAAAAAGTGTATTTATTGATACAAAAACAAATACTGTACCAAGACAGGCAGGAGAATTCAAACGAATACTTGATTTTCAAAACAAACAGCCTTCTGTGAAGGTTATAAGTCAAATTGCTGCCACTCCCACAGAAAGATATGAAACACAAAGCATTTTCATCTAAGCTCATGAGCATAACCGAAATAGTATGTTTAAAATGCACACCAGACTTTAGGTGCTGTGTGTGCTCTTTTGCTGGAGAAGAGCTCCTCTTTTATTTTCCCTGAGTTCATTGCTCTCTCACCTGAATTGCAGAATCATCAGAACTTGAAATAAGGGTATTCCCATCAGCTGTGAACTGGATGTGCCGTACTGCTTTCTTGTGCCCAATCCTGGACTGGAAGACTTTGTTGTTGAGAAGTTCTAAAATCTTCAAAGTAGAAAAATTACAAGAAATTAATTCAAAGAAATTAAGCAAACTCAGGCACTATACCATGAAGATATTAAATTGAACTTAGATTTCAGAAAGGTTTCAAATTTCCATTTTGCAGTGCTTTCTGTTTAAAGACACACACATGAGCCAGGCATAGTGGTACATGCCTATAATCCCAGCACTGTGGAGGCTGAGGCAGGAGGATCACTGTGAGTTCTAGGCCAGCCTGTGTTACATAGTAAATTCAAGGCTAGCCTGAACTACACTGTGAGACCCTGTATCAAAACAAAAATAACAACAAAAAAAGCCCACACAAATGAATGACACACATACACACACACATGCACACACCCACTAAAATCAAGCACGCATGGAAATGGCCAGATGGCAGGAAGGACCAGTGATCCTCTGATTACTCAACTAGCCAATTCATCAAACAAGTGCCAGTCTGGGCTCCATCTCAAAGAGGAAAATGACATTTAAAATGGATGAGAAAGAAGAAAGGAAAAATCCTGGATGAAGCAAGGCAAGCACTTCATAAATACCACAGAGACAAGGAAAGATAAAGGATGACAAGGGAGACAGGTGGAGAAAAAGAAGGTGTGACAAGGCTGCAGGGCAGTGCAATGACAGGACTTCGGGAGTCTTGAGACTAATATGCCACAGGCAGAAATTAAGAAACTAGTAACAGAAACACAAAAACTGATGATATAAAATGCCTCATGAACTCACCCTCCCAAAAGTAGATATGGTTTCTCTGCTCAAATTAAAATGTACTCAAGGAACCCTAAGATGATGCTGTAACAGGAGATTCCAGAAATGCAAACCTAACCAACAGGTCTGAAAAGAGGCCCCTCAGAAAGCAAAGGGGAATTGAACACAGAGGGGAATGAAGCCTTCCTGCGTGAGCAGAAGAGACAATCTCACAGATCCTACAGGAGGGGATGGCAGGATGGTGGAGCCTCAGAGACCTGGGTTTGAATACTAGCTCTGCCACCTATGGGCGCTATGGAAATTAGGAGTTTAGATGTCTGCAAACAAGACTAGTAATATCTAACATCCAGAATGTTACAAGAATTCAACAAGAACATCTGGCAGAGTGAATGCCTAAAAAATAGTAACTGCTATTATTATTTGATGATACTAGTCTGAATCATACAAAACTGCCATTTTATGGGTTTCAAACATTAAAAAATAGGCAGGTATTGGCAATACACACAATTCATTTTCTATTTATATTATTTGATGACTAAGGAGATTAAGGATGTGGATAAAGCATGTGTTTTATACTTTATTTTTAAACTATAAAATACACAGGAAATCTCATCTCAAGATACTTTTGATGTTAGTTAAAAAAATATATGGTGCTGGCTTGGCAACAGGATAAAAAGGAAAGGGGAAATAAAGGCCCTTTCATAATACGTAATGCACAACAATTTGAAAGATGAGACACCATACCTTTCTCAGTGAACAACCATAACGCTTTCTCAGAATAGTACCCATTATAACAATTAAGTTTTCAGAATAATGGACAAAAATACAGCCTTAATTCTGAATCCATGCCACAGTGGCTATGGGAAATACATAACAGCACTGTCGTCACTTCCATCTTCATTTTGTGTATAAGCATGCAGTCTCTTCTTTGTAGGGCAATATGGACTAGAGAGTTCCTTAAGAAAATAAATCCAAGGTAAAATAAACATCACTAGTGTCAGAATTAATAAATTAAGAAATAATTCCCAAAGGCCTGGATGAGAAAAAGAAAAGAAGCTGGTATTCTTTAAAAAATGATTATATAGCTAGAGAAAATGTGTTTTTGTGGCAAATTTTATCTATGTTAAAGACAATTATCTGGGGGCTGGAGATTTAGCTCAGTGGTGCCGCGGCTGCCTCACAAGTACAAGGTCCTGAGTTTGATTCCCAGTACCAAAAAAAAAAAGACAATATTTTCATCTAAAATGACTTTTACTATACTACTTTTTTTATACTACTATATTACTTCTTTGTCTTACCACTTGAATCTATTTTTACTTATTTGGTCTCATGAGAGAAGTTAAAGATTTCAGGTTGTGAGCAAGCAGATGTCTAACACCAAACACAGAAAAGCAAGGGTTGGTAGATCAGGCAAGTAAAGGCGACTGTGCCTTGATATTTCCAGCGAGCCTTACCACCAAAATGGAAAGGACATACACCCCACACAGCTGAGCTTCTAAGGAGAAGAGGGAAAAAATGTTTTCGGTATAGTGGTATAAATCTCTGACAGACCATGTTTGATATGTGTGTAGAATAGCAAACCAACTACAGTAGAGAATAAGGAACACAAAAAGCCTGAGAAAGAGTGGTGAAGGCAATCTGAAAAATACAATCAACTGGAGGGCCAGGGATGTAGCTCAGTAGTTCCGCCGCCTGCCTCACAAGCGGAAGGTCCCGAGTTTGATCCTCAGTACCAAAAAAAACAAAAGAAAGAAACCAACTGGAAAAGATGATTTTTGGTCTCATAGAACAATGACTAAGAGAGCACAGAAAGATGTGTTTAGTATGCAAGTGTACAATGACAAGTATTTAATTAATTTTAAATAATTAACCCTATCACACAGCTCTGAAGACTAGAACTGAATACCTCAATGGCTCCATCTTCATCTCCAAATGCAACGTACTGAAGGTGTGGACTTAAGCAACAGCAGCTACCTTGAGCTTCAGTCAGGTAATCAATCTGACCTGTTTTTCCATTAATGAGCTAATGAGAAATAAGGCACAATTAGTTATCAGGTTGTACTAGTGGTTTTTGCTCTTTAGAGGCTTCAATTGAAAAAAATAAAATAAAATACAGAAGATAACCAACAAGAGCTCCCACAGGAACAACAAAGCCCTATCCTTATCTCAGCAGCTGCATTTAGCACTTTATGTTTTCATTTCATTTCACTTTTGCGGTTCAAATACATTTTCACAAAATAAAACAAGCTTTAAAAGGTTTAAAAGCAGCTGCTTTGCCCACCACCAGAGACACATCTGTCTGATTTGTAATCTCACAGCCCGCTCCACACCCTGTTTTCCATTTCCTCACAAAGACCATTTTTAACAAGGTTACATTGTTGAAATACACTTTTCTGGTATTTTTCAAAGGGGCTGGTGAAAAAGGACTGAGACAGACATTGTATAAGAAGACAAATCTATATTAAAATATGTTATATTCTCCAATCACTCACAAAACAAGGTAAGTTAAGATCCTCTCCCTTTTGGGGGGAGGGAGGAACAGAGAGATATTGGAGAAGAAGCCGTAAGCACAATTTGTGTGGCTGAAATTATAATGCTTAACTCAATTTTATAATGTGTACCAATGCTAATTACTGTTTTTAGAAATCCCACAAAAAAGATGCCTTAGTTCTCAACAAAAACATGTGACCTTGGAAAGTATCTTTCAAGCCTAAATCAACTGTCAGATATCCCTCTCTAATTTAGTATCATAACCTAAAAATCCTGAATTATTTTTTAGCATGAAATAAGCAGTCAAATTCATTTTGGGTGTAAATATTATAGGGCCAATCAATCACAGGTAGCTTTTCCTTTACAACATTTTACCCAGTGTGTTCTAATAGATATTTTAAATGAAGAATGAACTACTAAAAGCTGAATATCTTCATCTCTCAAAAAATCAATTTCAAGAGCTCTTTTAACTAGTAACTAAAAAATGTTTTATGCACTTAAATGGAATTAATATCTTAACTCAGCCACAGCCATTGACATAGAATAAAATTATACTTTCATAGTCAGTTAGCTTCATAAATCCTCTAGTAGTTCCTGATAACTATTAATGAAAGGTTGCACAAATTTAACGCAGGCAATACAAGGATGGGGACACTAAACTTGACAAGAAACTACAATGAAAATATCTCAAGCTGGACAATCAGCCTACTAAAATCCAGATAAGAGGAATTCACATTCAATATCTGTATTGAATCCATATCTAAATTCATCCCAGAAATACACAGCGCTGACCACAACATGGAGGACTAGGATGAACTTATATAATACCCAGCAGGGCACGTGTAGAGCTGCCTCACAGCTTGACTCTAACTCCCACAGGAGGTGAAGATGAGTTACCCAGACCAAAACCAAATTATTCCCAGGAATGTCTCCTGAATTTAGATTCTACCTTATCCCTACAATCAGCTCACAGACTGCTGAAGATGCAAAGGGCCTTACAGATGAAGAAAGTCAGGTTCAGAAAAGTACTGGAATGTAATTTACTCAACATCACAGAACTATCTCATGCTAAAGGTCTCCTGCACCAGGTCTCCTGAGTGCAAAGTCACTGCCCTGCGACTCCAAGCTCCACTCTGCAGCTTTCAAACTTGTTGAGCCACCCTACCCTCTGCCCATCTGTCTCCAGCTCTTCCCGGCATTTGTACTAGTTCTCCCTCCTGCTCTATTTTGTTTCTTTCTTCCTCCTTAGCTCTGCTTTATCTCATCTCACATATATTCTTGCTGCCTGTATTTCCACAGCCCAATCAAGAAAAATCACAGGCAAAGATGGCACAGTAGCACATTATCAGTGCTAAACTTTTCCTTAGAACAGTAGTGATAAAACTATGTTTGTGCCCTAGCAGGCTGTTTGTTATATCATTGAAAGCTCTGAAAGGTTCGCCATCACACTGCTGATGAAGTTAATAAGGCACGTTCAGGGCTGGGGCGGTGGCTCAGTGGTACAGCACCTTTCTAGCATGTACAAGGCCCTTAATTTGACCCCCAGCACTACCAAGAAAAGAAAACAATGAAGTAAGGAAGGCACTTCTATAACCCATCTGGAAAAGAATAACTCAAGTTATATTTATGTTCTCAAAAGCTAATGAGAGGTTCTACAATGACAAATATACTATGAGAAAACAGTTCACAGAATCAGTAGCCCTCACCCATGACAGGATTTCTGTCCTTCCCAACCCTGTCTGTCAGAGGCCACACGCAAAGGGACGTCTCCCCAGCTCACATAACAGCCGCATGGACCAGCCCTTCTCTGGCTGCCGCTCTCACCACCTCTCCCCACAACTCACCGCTGCGTGGCTGCTCGTGCTGACGCCGCTGCAATGGCCCCTGCCCGGCTGTTCTGCGTGGGCTGGGCTCCAGGAAGGCATTCTCTTGGGTCTGACGCTCCATTGAGCATTTGCTTTCTCCAGCCGCCACCACATCCAGGCCCTCTCTGTCAGTGCCATGCCAATAGCACTGGACTTCCATTCAGAGGCCACCATCCCAGGGACACTAACCTGCTCCTGGATGCCAGTGCTCCTGAGGGCATCTGCTCTCTCCATCACCACTACCCAGAGCTCAAAATACCACTCCTCTGCAACAGTCCCTGGGACTGCTCTGCTGTCAGTGAAGAAACGCCTTCCTCTTCTTTGCCAGACTCTTTGTTAGGGGTGCAGGGAAAGGAGCCTAGAGTACACTGCTTGGATCCCGAAGCAATACACTTCTCCCGGTGACACCACACAGCTGTATTCCCTTACGTATTTACTGAGGACATGTGCGGGTAAATGAGCACATGAACAGGTGTACTACAGGAGATGAAGTCCAGCTCTTTCCATTTCTGGAATGACTTAGACTCCTTCCCCACTTACAGTGATTTTTGTTTTTTCAAAGGCCCTATTATCTATCCTTCCCCTGCAAAATGCTTCCATTAGTATGCTCATCCCCTTCGCTTACCCCATCAGACATGTGTAAATCACTCCTGTGAACAAGTCAGTCCTAAGGCTATTCCTGAGACTCCATGCAAACCAAGGGATGTGATCACAAATACCAGAGGAGAGAACATGAAAGGTGAGGTACCACCTAACTTAATTCCAAATATCGGCATATCTAAGCCTTAGCTCAAGGCCCATATACTTTTTTCAACTAATGCCTGCTGTAAGTAAGGCACTCTACAATTATGCCTGATCCCAAATTCATACACAAGAAAAACAAAACAATTTTTTCAGTTATTTTCTAAAAAGTACTCACTTGTAGACGTCTTATATTGTCAACTGCAAGGACCATGACTTCATCTTCTTGAAACACAACATCTATTTCTTGCTTTAACACTATAGCAGAGTTTTTACACACCTTCTTTGTCTCCCACACCTGATTAAGAGATAAAGAAACTAAAATAAAACTGTATGCTATCAGTCCAACTGCTGAGACAACATAAAGACAAGCAAGATACAAACTACGCTTCACAGTTAAAATCCCTATGTTAGAAATTTCTCAATTATGAAATTAGATTATAACCCAACAAAAAATATTTATTAACACATTCTTTAGTAAGAAGCAGTCAGTATTAGGAGTTGGGGGCTCTGAAGCCAAAATGCCTTCATTGAAATTAGTTTTACATAAAGTTGTGACTTTGGGCAGGTTACTTAACCTAGTGCTAATCAAAAATAAGGACTGCCCAGCCAGGGATTTAGGTCAGTGGTTTTGCCGCCTGCTGCACAAGCGTAAGGACACAAGTTCGATCCCCGGTACCAAAAAAAAATAAAATAAAATAAGGACTACCTGTTGGATCTTAAACTGTTTCATACCATCCCACAAGATACCAAGTATGCACCAGAATGAATGAATGTAAATCAACTAAACCTACAGTTACAGTCAGTTTAGTGATACTGTTTTTTCTTTTCTTTTTTTTAATAAGAGCTTGTTGATGAAGGAAGCAGTGGGTTGACTTATATTCTAACTCAAGCTCAATGAGACTGACACATTAAGTAGTACTAACCTTTCTGAGCTTTTCACTCAGCTGCAAAAAAGGACTGTTGTGAGCATTAGTAAATTAATACATATCTAGTACTTTGCACATGTCTGACATGAAGTATTAATAAGTTGTAGCTATAATTTGTATAAAACACTAAATTAGATACTACCAACCAGAGTTCTAATCTAAAATGTGTGACTAAATCAGGGAAGCAGTGGAGCAATGGAGGGCAGAGTAAATCGAATCTGTACATGAAGTCAGAATTTGACAAGCACCATTAGAAACTGACAGAATTTTATGGCATTAAAGAAAACAGACACGCCCCTAATGAGGAAGTCTGGAGGGGACCTTTGGGATGGTTAAGATTTCAACAAGCAGAGATACAATGTACTCTAAACATAAATCCCTTAAGCAAAAGTACAGAAAACTCCAGGGTGTCTGGGAAAATGTGAGTGCTAGAAATAAACTGAAAGACAGAGTGGAGCAGAATGAGAGCATACTGTGGAGAATCTTGAGTGGTATAAAGAATATCCTTGCTTTGGTAGACAAGGGAAGCCATGATCTGTTTTAGAGCAAAAATGACATGACCAGGGCTAAGGATGCTGCTCAGTGGTAGAGCACTAGCTCAGCAAGCACCGAGCCAGGTTCAATCCCCAGCACCCCCTCCGAAAAAAGTATGACTGGATGGTACATGAGGGGAACATCTTGAAAGCAGCACAGAGGAAAGCAACAGAGAAGCTCTGTAGCGCAGGCAACAGGTAATGAGAATGAGACCCTGGGCAAGAGGAACAAAAGGGAAGATAAAAATGGTAAGAAAGATGGAAAGGTAAAATCTATCAGAATTGGCAAATAAATGGATATGAGAATTCAGGGTAGAAGAGCAAGCGAAAGATCACTCTCAAGAATCAAGTGAAGTATATGTAAATTAACCAAAATACAGCTTAATTATTGGACTCTCCAGCACATGGTAATTCTCAGGAACAGATCTGAGTAAATGAAACTGTTCCAGTACATTGTGGCACTTCTCCAGGATGAATATGGTTCTAGCAGCTTCCTATTTTACTTTCTCCAATACTTCCTTATCAAATTCCTTAGTTTTCAGAAGATTTAACTTACTATCAATAAATGTTTAAAATTAGACACAGGAGGTGAGCCGCTCTCAGCCTGTAAGAGGAGGCTTCCAGACTGCCATACCACCCCTGCCAGCATACAGGAGGTGAGCCACGTGGCCACCAGCAGCACCCCCCACAACCCCCCCCAAAGAAGAAGACACGTAAACAAGCCTCAAAACCAGACTTCCAGATCACCTACAGCAACCCCAAAGGGAAACGAGATAGAACACTCTGATACTCAACCACTTGGACTCCCTGAACTGACAACAAAAGAGCACCTGGAAAAAATGAAATCAGAAATAATTTCTCAGATAAAAACAGAGATTGTGCTCATAGTGCAACATGATTAATAAATCTAGAGAGTACACAGATAAAAAAAATAGAGGAGCTGAGGAACACAATGGAATCCCAACATAGGAAACAAATGGAATCCATAAAACAGATACAAACAGGTTTCCAGGAGATTAAAAACTCCATTGAAAGTCTACACAACAGAATGAGACAATGTGAGGACAGAATTTCAGATACAGAAGATAAGATTGCAATTAATGACCAGGAAAAGAAAAATTGCTTTAAAATTGTAAGGGA